AGTTTTTAAACATAGACTATTGCACCATTTCATCTGGAACCAATGACATACTGTCCCGGAAAAAAATCATCGTACGTGCATTGTACAATATATGTGACAGGGACTTACATTTTGTAAATGTGTACAAAACCTAGATGTAACTTACTGCTTTAACATGGCTGTTTGACGCTTCCTAACTCGTGCTTAACTCTCATTGCTCCAACAGGTGACCAGCTTGACAAGGAACCAGGTAGGACAAACGCTTAACTACGCACTCATACTTAGTCGTACCAACTTCTGCTAATTTCTGTTTGTCGCTTTTCTGTCTGTCTGTCTGTGTGTGTGACATAATTGTGGTATTCTTCACTGGCCACCCGGGGTGGAAGTGGGATACCATTTTCTGTGCTTGGCTTTTTGCTTTCTGCGCGATTGATGGTTTTCAAACGGCACGTAAAGGTAAGTCATGATGTGTCTCGTGCCGATTTGTAAACAACCAATGGTGCTTCTGCGACTTCACTACATACGAATTTACCCTACTTGCTTTAACGCCCGCAATACTTATTAGACAAGTGTAATCTGCGCCACGCAGTTACTTACGGTAATCAGAAATTCCTTACATAACACTCAGTTCTTAACAGCTGTCCAGTTAGTAAATAATGGAGAAACGGAAGTTTGTTCCTTGTGTCGTAACGCATCGTGGCGTTTTGCGTCTCTGACGGGAGGCGCCACGATGCGCCACGGGACATGGAACAAACTCCAGGTAACAACACTACACAACACTACACAAACAAAAAATGGTATCAAAAGCAAATTGTGATAAAACTTCTCAAGCGCCCAATGAGAAGAACCCTTATTCTTCCACAGCTACTGTGTATTATAGTTTGATAGAAATAAGTCCCCCTCCCCTTCATACACCCTCCTTACACTAAGCACTTGTAATCTAGAGTCACCTTCATCCTCTCTCTGGCTGGCTCTGAAGCACCCTTATGAGGAGAAAACCTATCCTTCCACAGCTACATTATAGATGCTAATGCCCCCTCCCCCTTGTAGACTTGACACCCTCCTTACGTTAAGCACTAATTCTAGTCCCAGTCACTTCATCCTCTCTCTGGCTCTGAAGCACCTTTATGAGGAGAACCCCTATTCTTCCACAGCTACATTATAGATGCTAATGCCCCCTCCCCCTTGTAGACTTGACAACCACCTTACGTTAAGCACTAATTCTAGTCCCTGTCACTTCATTCTCTCTCTGGATCTGGAGGGCAGAGAAGAACCCCTATTCTTCCACAGCTACTACATTTTCTATGTATTGCTTATCATAGATGATAGTGCCCCCCCCCTCCTCTTTGTAGACTTATGTTAAGCACTAAGGCTTGTATTCTAGTCCCTGTCACCTACATCCTCAGTCTGGCTCTGAAGCGCCCTCATTTGCATGTTCGTGAGACTTAAATGGTACCCTTACCCTTGTATTCTAGTCCCAGTCACCTTCATCCTCGGCCTTGAGGACCAGTACGCGATCGAAGGCGATGAGGAAGCGAGCTTCATGTGCGCCATCTCGGACCCCGAGGCCGAGGTCACCTGGTACCGCGAGTCCGAGGCGCTTTCTGAGGGCGAGAAGTACTCCTTCGTGGCCGAGGGCGCGCGCCGCAAGCTCCTCATCCGCGACATCAAAACCGCCGACCAGACCAAGTACAGCTGCGCCACCAACGCCGACAAAACCGAGGCGAACCTGTTCGTCGAAGGTACAGGACATCAGCGTGTTCTGACGCTTCTAACTGCACTGCTTAGAGGCACTAGCGCTAGATTACTTGCTACAGCACGTTTCTATGCTTAATTAGACTAGTGAAAAATGAAGACCTGGCTTTTGAGCAACTGTCATGAGTCGTATGGAGCATCTCTTGCTTTGCCTCAAGGCAAGAACAGTTCAATACTGTTCGCTGAAGGTACAGAGCGAGGGTGTTCTGACGATTCTTCTTGCGCTTCTCAGATAGCAATAGTAGCGCTATCATAAGTTGGTTCACAGTTCAAACTGGGCATGTTCCCCTTTGACATTGAGCAGTTTAAACCTTGAATTGGCTTATTTGCTGCAACACTTTTTTTCTGCTTTCCTTGACACAATAGAATACATGTAGGAGAAATGGAGACTTAGCTTTTGATTGCCTATAATGAGTCGCTAGGTAAAGATATTAAGCATCTCTTGCTTTTCCTTAAGGCAGCTCTCTTATTTCTGGAACAAGTTACATGTATTACCGATTCAATCGCTTTGCGCAGTCATCTTTCTTGACAATGCAACACGCACTGAAAAGTCCTAGGAAGTATGGCTTTAGGGGCTGGAGCTATAGAAAGTCTAGACTAAGGTCTTTCTGTTCTATTCTGCTGTTAAATTGGCTGAACAGGCTGGCTTGAATACTACAGAACAATTGACTTGGCTTTCAAAATTAGTGGCAAGATCAGCCATCTTTTCCTTGCATGTCTTGTCTTTCTTGCTTAGTTCATAAGACATTCTGACATGTTTGGATATATTTATTTTCAGCTCAGGTTTCTGCGAAGGTTTGCGTGCGAATTTCTCCATAGGTTAAAAAGTTATCGTTCGGCGTCAGTAATTCGCTTCCGTATTGAATTTGGCATTAAGCTTAAACCTATCTTAATTCATATTGCGCGAATTATATGCATTATTTGCTTAAGTCCTTTTATCCTAGTGTTTCTCGTAGATATGTCTAATATGTAAATATCTACCTCTACTATCTACTAGCTTTTGTCGACTTCTTTCCTGGCCTGGAAGACCAGTATGCAGTAGAACAAGACGCGCAGGCGCAGTTCTCCTGCAAAGCAACTCATCCCAATGCGGAAGTGACTTGGTACAGGAGCGACCAGAAAATTGAGAACTCGGAAAAATACGAAATCCTCGTGGACGGATTCGACCACACTCTTATCATCAAAGATATCCAGATAAAGGATGAAAGTTCCTACTCTTGCGCGACCAAGCACCGAAAAACTACTGCGAGACTCTTCGTTGAAGGTATTGAAGAAATGTCTGTCCATGCTTGCTGCTTTGCGTATTCTCTGGCGCAGCGTTTTAGTCTGTACGGTTTAGATGCGCTTCGTGAAGTAAGTTAGTATAGTTCATTTTAAGTCAACTGTTAAGTGTGCTGCTAGGCGTTTAGTGCGATATAGCATTTTTAACTGCAAACTTAAGGAACGCTAGGCGGCGCGTTTGGTAGTAAGAGAATCTTTAATTTGTATATATTATGATCACTGGTAAAGGTAGTGTCTGCTCAAGGACATTCTATCACCTGCTTGCGCGTATTGCAGTTTCAGTCCATTGTTGTAGTCCTTGTTCTTCTCTGAAGAACAATCCTGCTTCATGCTAAATTATGTATTCCATTTTGCGCATTTTCTAGTCATCTAGGTTCATGAGTGTCTAACTCCAACCTGTTTTATAGCTCTGATAGACTTCTGGCCTGGACTGGAAGACCAGTTCGCGGTTGAGTATGATCCGCAAGCGCAGTTTTCCTGCAAAATGGACCAGCCTAACGTAAAGGCAACGTGGTACAGGGAAGACGAGATATTAGAAAACTCAGAAAAATACCAAATCATTGCAAAGGGGTTTGACCACCATCTAATCATCAGAAATATTCGACAAGAAGATGACACGTCCTACTCTTGCGCGAACAAGCATCGCAAGACCACAGCAAAACTTATCGTTGGAGGTACAAAATTGCGAATAGGCTGCACATGTTTGCTATGATGGTCTTAACGCCATGCAATTTTTTTCTGGAAGTAAAAAAGTCTAACGATGTGATGAGAAAAAAAAGCTCAAAATATAATCCCGTATATGAATATTTGTCAAACGTTAGCTTGCTTGAGTACACAATCCGTATGCCAATAGGCATTTCAAAATCATGTCCAGTTGCTTGAGTAACTGTTTTTTGGCACTTCTTGTTGATTCTTTGCTGAGGGCAAACTTTGTCTTAAGAATGTGAACGAATCTAAATCCTTAATTCTCATCCCTAGAACTAATCGACTTCTGTCCTGGGCTGGAAGACCAGTATGCGATAGAGTATGACGCGCAGGCGCAGTTCTTCTGCAAAATGACGCAGCCGGACGCCCAAGCCACCTGGTACAGGAGCGACCAGAAAATACAGAACTCGGAAAAATACGAAATCTTCGCGGATGGCTACGATCATTCCCTTATCATCAAAGATATCCGGCTAAAAGACGAAACTTCCTTCTCTTGCGAGTCCAAGCATCGCAAAACTACGGCAAATCTGTTCGTCGAAGGTACCGACAAAATGACCGTCCATGTCTGTCCATGTTTTGTCGCTAGGCGTAGCTGATATAGGGCTTTACCTTAGCTTGTATTGTTACAGCGCGCTTCGTGGCGTAAGTTAATAAGTCGTTTATAGAGCGAAAAGCCCCTGTCACACATTCAAAGCCTTACCCGTCCACCAACCAAACAAACTTGGCCAGATGGCAGATGTAGGCCACATTCATATTTCTATATGATTCGAAGCAATTTGAGTTAAATTTGAGTCAAATTTGATCATTGAACACGCCCATATTTGGCTATGTGTGACAGGGGCTCGATAAGACCACAACGTTCTGCTATAGACGTTCAGCGCGACTTAGTCTTTTTTAATTGCAAACTTAGGTGGCGCGTTTCATAGTCAGCAAAGCTAGATATATGAAGGTAAACAGTGTCTGCTTGCGGGATTTGCAATTTTAGTCTGTTGTAGATATTGTTCTGTAAAGAACGATCCTGCTTCATGCTGAATTATTTACCATTTGCCAACAGTTTGACAATTTCTAGTTAGAAAGTAGACGAGTATCATTATGCAGATATCAAAACATGCATGTACTGGACCCATGCTTTGCTGAAAGTACACGTCGTATTTAGTCATCTAGTTCTTTTGGAGTGTCTAATGCAAACATCTATACTTTTAGCTCTGATTGACTTCTGTCCTGGACTGGAAGACCAGTTTGCGGTCGAGAAAGACCCAAAGGCGCAATTTTCCTGCAAACTGAACAAGCCCAATGTTGAGACAACATGGTACAGGGAAGATGAGAAGTTAGAAAACTCAGAAAAGTACCAAATCATAGTAAAAGGTTACGATCACCATCTAATCATCAAAGATATTCGGCAAGAAGATGACACGTCCTACTCTTGTGCGACCGAACATCGCAAGACCACAGCAAAACTGATCGTTGGAGGTACAAAACTCGTGACTAGAATGTACTTCTTTAGTACAATGGTCTTAGCACAATGCAGTTTTTTTCTCTACTTGGTAAAAAAGAATGAATATAATCCGTATATCATTGAAAAGATGTCCGACATTAGCTCGCTTCTCACTCTTTGAATGTGAATATATAATCATAACTTCTTGTTCATTCTTTGCTGAGCTAGGGCAAATTTCATTTATTGCAAGAATGTCCAACAAATCTAAATCCTTGATCTTTACCCTTAGAACTAGTTGACTTCTGTCCTGGGCTGGAAGACCAGTACGCTGTAGAACAAGACGCGCAGGCGCAGTTCTCCTGCAAAATGACGCAGCCTGATGCTGAGGCGACCTGGTACAGGAGCGACCAGAAAATTGCGAACTCCCCAAAATACGAAATCATTGCAGACGGCTATGATCACACTCTTATCATCAAAGACTATCCGACTAAGAGACGAAACGAGCTACTCTTGCGCGTCCAAGCATCGCAAAACTACGGCCAATCTGTTCGTGGAAGGTACCGACAAAGTGGCCGCAATGTCTGTCCTTGTTCACCGCCAGGCGTAGCTGATACAGCGCTTTACCTTAGCTTGTACCGTTTCATGGCGCTTCGTGGTGTTTGGTAATTGTGTATACATAGAACGTACATTTGTAAAGCCCCTGTCACACATTCGGAACATTCCCCCAACCACCATCCAAGTACATTGTACGTTTGGCTGAAGTATGGCAGCAGTCTGACCAGATTTAGGCCCCAACTGCCTTTCAATTTGAATTGATCCAAAATTTAGTTAAATTTGATTCAAATTTGATCATCAAACATGCCCTGACCACTACTGACCTAGTCCCAACCATTATTTGGCTATGTTTGACAGGGCCTTGCAGCGCGGCATTGCGTTATTTAATCATTGCATACTTAAGGCGGCGCGTTTCATAGCAAAGCTAGATGTATGTAGCTAATAAACAATGTCTGCTTGCGCGATTTGCAATTTCTGTCCATTATAAGTTGTAGATGTTGTTTTTCTGTAAACTTTAAGAGCGATCCTGCTTCGTGCTGAAAGTTATGTTTTTCCATTTGCCAACATTTCATTCGGCCAGAATTTGATATTTTCTTGTTAGAAAACAGTATCATTATGCAGATATCCCAAAACATGTATGTAATCATCAATTGCTGAATGCACAATATGTTTCTAGTCCTTTTGTTTATAGAGTGTCTAATTCCAAATCTCTGCTTATAGCCTTGATTGACTTCTGCCCTGGACTGGAAGACCAGTTTGCGGTCGAGAAAGACCCCCAGGCGCAGTTTTCCTGCAAACTGAACCAGCCCAATGTTGAGACAACCTGGTACAGGGAAGACAAGAAATTAGAAAACTCTGACAAATACCAAATCATTGTAAAAGGGTATGACCACCATCTAATCATCAAAGATATTCGGCAAGAAGATGACACGTCCTACTCTTGCGCGACGCAACATCGCAAGACCACAGCAAAACTGATCGTCGGAGGTACAAAAAAATCAACTAGAATGTAGTACTACACATTTGCTACTTGGGTCTTAGTGCAATGCCATTTTTTCTTTAAGAAATAAAATCCGTATTCCATTGAATAGATTTCCAACGTAAGCTCACTTTACACTCTCTGTATGCAAATTGCAAAACTTCTTGCATTCATCATAAGGATGTCTACGAGATTAAATCAAAACTTGATCTTTACCCATATAGAACTAGTTGACTTCTGTCCTGGGCTGGAAGACCAGTATGCTGTAGAACAAGACGCGCAGGCGCAGTTCTCCTGCAAAATGACGCAGCCTGATGCTGAGGCGACTTGGTACAGAAGCGACCAGAAGATACAGAATTCAGAAAAATACGAAATCATTGCAGACGGCTGTGATCACACTCTTATCATCAAAGATATCCGGCTAAGAGATGAAACAAGCTACTCTTGCGCGTCCAAGCATCGCAAAACTACGGCGAACTTATTCGTGGAAGGTACCGACAAGACGACCGCAATGTCTGTCCATGTTTGCCGCTAAGCGTTTTCTCTCGCGCGACGCTTTACCTTAACTTATGCGATTTAAAGGCGCTTCCTGGAATTTAGCAAAATGCAACATTATGAGCTCACTTATGTTGCTAGGCATTCAGCGCGACATAGAACATTATGAGACAACTTGTGCTGCTAGGCATCTAGCGCGACATAGAACATTGTAATTCCACATGTGCTGCTAGGCATTTAGTGCGACATAGAATATTGTAATTTCAATTGTGCTGCTAGGCATAGGGGCAGCTAGGCAGCATTTGATAGTCTGCGAATCTAGATCTATTGTAGTATGAACACAAAAGTAAATAATATATCGTTTTTAATTTGGCAGAAATCATACTTTGTCCAATTGGAAAACAGGGCCATTATATAGATATTACGAAACATGCATGTATCCATGCTTTGCTGAAGTCACACTTTGGTTTGAGCTCTTTGGCCTCTTGTTTTACCAGTGTCTAATTTAATGATCTCTACTTATAGCTCTGATTGACTTCTGCCCTGGACTGGAAGACCAGTTTGCGGTCGAGAAAGACCCTCTGGCAAAGTTTTCCTGCAAACTGAACCAGCCTAATGTTGAGACGACTTGGTACAAGGAAGACGAGAAGTTAGAAAACTCTGAAAAATACCAAATCATAGTAAAAGGGTATGACCACCATCTAATCATCAAAGATATTCGGCAAGAAGATGACACATCCTACTCTTGCGCGACGCAACATCGCAAGACTACAGCAAAACTGATCGTCGGAGGTACAAAAATTATGACTAGGATGTACATGTTTGCTATTAGTGTTCTTTGAATATTAAGCAAAGCCTCTCGATGTAAAGACAAACTGCAAAAAGCTCAAATGTGATCTGTATTCCGTTGAATATTTATCCAACTTTTGATCGCTTGACAACACTATGAGACTCAGTATGCAAATAGGCGTAACTTCTTGCTTATTCTTTGCTGAGGACGAATTTTGTTAACTTTATCTTTAAGTTACTAAATTGAAACTTGATCTTTGCCCATAGAACTAGTTGACTTCTGTCCTGGTTTGGAAGACCAGTATGCTGTAGAACAAGACGCGCAGGCGCAGTTCTCCTGCAAAATGACGCAGCCTGATGCTGAGGCGACCTGGTACAGGAGCGACGAAAAGATTGAAAACTCTGAGAAATACGAAATCATTGCAGATGGCTACGATCACACTCTTATCATCAAAGATATCCATCTAAGAGACGAAACATCCTATTCTTGCGCGTCCAAGCATCGCAAAACTACAGCAAAACTCTTTGTGGAAGGTACCGACAGAGCGACTGCTATGTCTGTCCATGTTTGCCACTAAGCGTATTCTCTGGCGCGACTATATGCCTTAGCTTATACGATTACTTGTAGATGCGCTTTATTTGCGATGTTAGGTGCTATAAGTCATTTTTACATGTGCTGCTAGGCGTTTAGCTTATAAGTCCACCTTTGCTGCTAGGCGTTTAGCTTATAAAGTCCACCTTTGCTGCTAGGCGTTTAGCTTATAAGTCCACTTTTGCTGCTAGGCATTTTAACGCAACATATAGCATTTTTTTACTTGTAAAATGTTAAGGGCGTTAGGCAGCATTTTATAGCCTGCGAATAGTGAACAAATGTAAACATTTTGGCTGCTTGCGCGGTTTACAACTGTGCTATTTCATTCCTGTAGACGATGTAAAATGTTCTTCTGTAAATATAAAATTGATTTCTCCTATAAAAGCGACGCTGCTTGCTGCTAAGTCATGTGTTTCCGTTCTGACATGATCTGTAAAATATTGACATGAAATTGTTGGCTCCAAATGGCGAAATATGTGTCCAAGTCTTCAAAAATCGATTTGCTGACATTTATTTATTGGCTGGACTGAACATTTTGTTGATATTACGGATATTGTTTTGCTGAAGTCACACTTCGTTTTTAGTCCTCAAGCACTTTCCTTCTTTTGTGTCTAATTAAAAAATCTCTACTTATAGCCTTGATTGACTTCTGCCCTGGACTGGAAGACCAGTTTGCAGTCGAGAAAGACCCTCTGGCAAAGTTTTCCTGCAAACTGAACCAGGCTAATGTTGAGACAACCTGGTACAGGGAAGATGAGAAGTTAGAAAACTCAGAAAAATACCAAATCATTGTAAAGGGGTATGACCACCATCTAATCATCAAAGATATTCGGCAAGAAGATGACACGTCCTACTCTTGTGCGACGAAACATCGCAAGACCACAGCAAAACTGATCGTCGGAGGTACACGTTTGCTGCTAGAGTCCTATTGCAATTATGACATTATTGTTTAAGGAAAGCCTTACAATGTAATGAACAAGTGTAGAAGCTCAAATCCGCATTGAATAGGTGCCCCACGTTTGCTTCTTGTTCAATCTTTGCTGAGGGCGAACTTTGCTTACCAACAAAACTAAATCTTCACTTAATCTTTACCCCCTTAGAACTAGTTGACTTCGCTCCTGGGCTGGAAGACCAGTATGCGATTGAAAACGATGCGCAGGCAACATTCTCCTGCAAAATGACGCAGCCGGACGCCGAGGCGACTTGGTACCGGAGCGACGAAAAGATTGAAGCGTCTGATAGATACGAAATCATTGCGGACGGCTACGATCACACTCTTATCATCAAAAACATCCAGATAAAGGATGAAACGTCGTACTCTTGCGAGTCCAGGCATCGCAAAACAACAGCCAAGCTCTTTGTCGAAGGTACCGACAGAGTGACCAGAACTGCTGCTCAGCTAAGCGTTGTCTGCGACTCTGCGTTTTCTCATAGATTTAAGGCGCTTCGTGACTTGCGTTAGTCTAAGAACATTGTTCACATATGCCCTTAGGCATTTTTGCGCAACACTGCGTGCTACATTAGCTTGTACATGTAAAATTTGAAGGCGCTTTGTGTTTGCGACTTTAAGTAGTTATTAAGCACAATGTCTGTCGTCATATGCTGCCAGGCGTTTTGTGCGACACTGCATCATTTAAGCATTACGCTCCTCTACAACTAAAGCAATTTCCATTTGGCAATTAGAAGTCTTTTTCTACAAGTCGGAGCAGAAACTACACCACTATCATGATCTGAAATCTAGCAAGAAGCTAATATTTTCCTTGTTGAGAAAAATGTAATTTGCCTACGTCAGGATTTGCGACACCAACACTGCGCGACATAGCCATGCTTTGCTGAAGGTGCGCTACGTGTATTAGCTCCCTTTGTTAGCCAGTTGTCTCATCTGTAAACTTCTGTTTCTAGGGTTGCTTGACATCCTTGGCCCCGAAGACGTGTATGCGGTAGAGAAAGACACGCAGGCGCAGTTCATGTGTCAGATGACGAAGCCGGCTGCAGACGCCGTGTGGTACAAGGGTGATGAGAAGATAGAGGAATCTGACAAATACAGGATTATTGTGTTCGGCTTTCTGCACACTCTGACCATCAATGATATTCAGTTGGAAGACGAAGCGACCTACTCTGTTCAGTCCAAACATCGCAAAAAGCCAGCCAACCTGTTTGTGGAAGGTACTGACAATGCGCCTGGAATATATGGCCATATTTGCTGCTAGGCCAAAGTTTTGTGCGAGTTTTTCTGAGCTTTTTGGCTCAAAAGGTGCTTTGAGAAGTGATTTAGTCTGTGATAGAATTTAGCTGCGAAACCATGTTTGTAAGCCAGTTTAATTTGTAAGCCAAGAAGTGAATATCGACTATAGGCGCAGAGACATTTGATTCGGCAAGATTCCGTTGGACTACAGTACTGTTACAACTGTAGTATTTAGCTTAGAGGGAGTGCACTGTGCATTTGCATCCAACTGCGTGGCACATACATGCTTTTTTCTATCCTTTTGTCACCGTCTGATCAAAAATGTTTAATTCTAGGCTTACTTGACTTCTGCCCTGGCCTGGAAGACCAGTATGCGATTGAGAAAGACCCGCAGGCAGTGTTCTCCTGCAAAATGAACAAACCTGACGTCGACGTGACGTGGTACAGGAAAGACGAGAAGATAGAACCTTCCGAAAAGTATGAAATTCTCAGGGATGGCTACGATCATTCCTTAATCATAAAAAATATCCGACAAGAAGACGACACATCCTACTCTTGCGCGTCCAAGCATCGCAAGACCACAGCAAAACTGATCGTTGGAGGTACAAAAAAAGCACATAGTCTAGTAGTATACACTACTGAAATTTCTGTCTGTTTTCTATATCATTGGCATTTTCACCTTTGAAAATGATCCGAGATCTAATTCTGTAAAGATATACTTTGAAGTCTTTTGAGTCTTTGAAAAATATAATCTGTTCTTCTTAGACAGCTTGGCTAGTACACTGTCAGTATGTGGATAGATATAACTTGCCCATACTTTGCAGGTGAACACTGGAGTAGTTACTCCAAAAATGTCTAAGAAACTAAATCGTTAATCTTTACTTTTAGAACTTATCGACTTCTGTCCTGGACTGGAAGACCAGTATGCACTAGAGCATGACGCGCAGGCGCAGTTCTCCTGCAAAATGACACAGTCAGATGCTAAGGCAACCTGGTACAAGGGCAAGGAGAAAATTAAGCCATCAGAAAAGTACCACATCCTGGTGGACGGCTTTGACCACACTCTCATCATCAAGGATATCAGGCTGGAAGATGAAAAGGACTACTCTTGCGAGTCCAAGCATCGCAAAACTACTGCGAAGCTGTTCGTCGAAGGTATCAACAGAAAGACCACACTGTTTGCCGCTAGGCGTTTTCTCTGCGACGCTGCGTTTTTATGTCTTAGATTTCTGACGTTTTAAGTCGCTTCGTGACGTGCGGTGGTCTAGAACAGTGTCATACAGTTAACAACATTATTCACACCCCTTGTAATCAGCTTGACAAGGGTGTGGATGATTTCGTTGTTAATTGTATGTGCTGCTAGGCGTTTAGCGCGACACTGCGTTTTGCATTAGCTTATAAACTTAAGGCGCTTCTTGACGTTAGAATACCTGTAGAACCAAATGTGCGTTGTTATGCGCGGCTGATATAAAATGTCCTTCTTGCCGATGTGTCCTTCTTCCCTGTCTATTGGTATCAGTCCAGTATTACAAGGGATGTAACACTTCTTTTTCATTGATTGGCTACAATCGCTGATACTCCTTTAGGTTGTTTATGGGGTATGCTGCTGTGGAAAATTTGCCCAAATTGTCATGGACTGATATCAAACTTCATAGAACTGCGCTTTCAATATGCCGATACTGCGCGCCATGTTGAATCAGATATGCTTTGCTGCGTGTACACAGCGCTTATAATTTTGATCACACAGAAATGTTTAACATCTAAATCTCTACTTGTAGCCCTGCATGACTTCTGTCCCGGACTGGAGGACCAGTATGCGATCGAGTATGACGATCAGGCGCAGTTTTCCTGCAGGATGTCCCACCCCGATGCTGAAGTAACCTGGTACAAGAACGATCAGAAACTGGAGAACTCAGAAAAATACGAAATCCTTCTGGATGGGCATAACCACTATCTCGTAATCAGGGACATCAGGATGGACGATGATACCTCCTATTCTTGCGAGTCCAAGCACCGTAAAACTACTGCCCTGCTGGTCGTGGAAGGTACCGATGAAACGACCGACGTCTCTGACTACATTTGCTTCCAAGCGTTTTGCGCGATTTGTTGTTCTTCTTAGGCTTAGCTTCTATAGTTTAAGGCGCTTTGCGACATTACATGTAGTTGGTCTACTATAGAGTACACATATACAATGTATGCTGATAGGCGTCTAGTGCGATTTTGTGCTTCTCTTGCAACGTAGCTTGTGAAGTTTAAAGGCCCTTTGCGATGTAAGTCGGTCTCTGAAACAACTTATACATGTGCTGCTAGGCGTTTACTGCAAATCTGCGCTTTCTCTTGTAATGTAGCCTAGTAAAGTTCAAAAGCGCTTTGCGACGTGAATCAATCGTTGAACATATAGCGCATTTGCTAGGAATAATTTGCCTATATTTCAAAGCTTATTTGGAAGCTTTGCCAAAATTGGATCAAAAGAAACTTGAGTTGAATTGGAGTAGGAATCTTGCAGGTACAGGTGCGCTATCAATGTGCAGACACCGCGCAAACCAACTTGCTAAGCTGTTTTAATAATGACCTTTTCTCACAGAACTGTTTTGTCTATCTCTCTGTACTTTTAGAACTTATCGACATCAGCCCTGGGCTAGAGGACCAGTATGCGATCGAGTATGACGCGCAGGCGACTTTCTCCTGTAGGATGTCTAAGCCCAACGCCAAGGCGACTTGGTACATGGGCGACAAGACGTTAGAAAACTCAGAAAAGTACGAAATCATTGTAGATGGTCATGACCACAGTCTCATCATCAAGGATATCCGAATGGCAGATGATACAGTCTACTCCTGCGAGTCCAAGCATCGCAAAACTTCAGCTCTCCTGTTTGTTGAAGGTACCAACAGAAGGGCTATTTGTCCATGCTTGCTGCTAGGCGATCAGTGTGATTTTTATCGTTTTATGAAATTATAGGGCTGCTTAGGGTGTCTAGTGAAGTAAGAAAAGCTAGTCATTATAATGCTTCAACAACAAAAATCTGAAGAGCGTTAGCTAGTGAGAGCTTACTGTCACTCTTACGGAACCTATCCGTGCTTTGCTGAAGATGAACAGTCTTTTTCCTGACTTTCTTACATGACATTTTGTTCTGTAAATCTCTACTTGTAGCTTTACACGACTTCTGTCCCGGCCTGGAAGACCAGTATGCGATAGAGTACGATGATCAGGCACAGTTTGCCTGCAAACTGACGCAGCCCAATGCGGAGACGACCTGGTACAGGGAAGACGAGAAGTTAGAAAACTCTGTAAAGTATGAAATCCTTGTGGACGACTACGATCACTCTCTTATCGTCAAGGATATTCGGCTGGAAGACCAAACATCCTACTCTTGCCAGTCCAAGCATCGTAAAACTACAGCAAACATGTTCGTCGAAGGTACCGAGGAAACAGCTAGTCTATGTAGCTTTGCTCAGCTAGACGATCTAGCTTTGCTGCTAGGCATTTGGCGCGAATCTGTGTTTTCCCTTCAAATATTTGCAGGCGCTTCGTGAAGTAAGTTATTATGCGCTGCTAGGCGATTAGCTAGATTCTGCATTAAACTGCAATTACGATCATAAAGATACAATTTAACAATTTCAGGCAGAGCTGTTTACTGCTTAGGCACAGAAAATACAATTCCCAAACATTCCATTAAGCATTACTCTGCGGAGGTTTGCTGTACCTGGCCTTGCTTCGCTTAGTGCGTTCTGTGCAGATCTTAGCTTTCTTGATCTGATAATTGATGACTCTCTATTTGTAGCGCTAGTCGACTTCTGTCCTGGGATTGAAGACCAGTACGCCATTGAAAAGGACGCGCAGGCGCAGTTCTCCTGCAAAATGACGCAGCCTGATGCCAAGGCAACCTGGTTCAGGGAAGAAGAGAAAATACAGGACTCTGAGAAATACGAAATCATCGCTGATGGCTACGATCACGGTCTTATCATCAAAGACATCCAACTTAAAGATGAAACTTCGTACACTTGCGCATCGAAACATCGCGAGACTACAGCCAAACTATTCGTAGAAGGTACTGATGAACAACCAGAATCTTCACTCTTCTCGGCTTAAATCTGGAAAAATTGAAAGTGATTGGCTTAATCTTGAAGTAGCTATTATTGTCAGACAGAACCAAATTTTGACAGAGATCGTGTCAGGAGATGTAATTTTTGTCTGATTTCTTTCACTGGCCAAGTAGGCTTACACATGCTGAAATTTTGTACATGGCAGGGTCTAGCTTTTAAGACAGCAGCTTCTTTCTTGCAAGTCTTTGTTTCATCTTAGAAATTTCTTCCATCCCTCCTTCAGGCCTTGTCGATCTAAGCCAAGGCTTGACCGACCAGTATGCTGTAGAAGGCGATGCGTCGGCAGTGTTTGCCTGCGAAATGTCGGCAGCTGACAGCAAGGCCACCTGGTACCGAGAGGAAGATGTTTTGGAACCGTCTGATAAATATGAAATCCGTGCAGACGGGAACATCCACAGGCTGGTGATCAAGGATATCAAGACAGTCGATGAAACAAACTACTCCTGTGCATCTAAACATCGCAAAACAACTGCGAACCTTTATGTGGAAGGTATATGGAGTAACAGTTTTAGCACAATGTGGCGCGCTTCTGTCATTCTTTACTGCGCTTCGCTCAAATTTGTCACCAATTCTAGTTCTGTACCGTATGCGTAGCAAAGTGGCAATTATGCATTTTAGCAAAGTGGCACATATGCGTCTATAAGTAGCAAAATATGCGTCTTAGGAAAGTGGCAAATATGTGTCTTAGTGATGTAGCAAATATGCGTCTTAGCGAAGTGGCAAATATGTTTAAGTGTGTCTTTCTACCAGCTTGTAATCTGCTTTCCATATCTTCTATCTTCCTAGCGATTTAAAGCAGTGCTGCAGGCGAAATATCATGGCTTTGCTGAAGGCGAACATCGTTTACAATCTTGTTTCTTCCAGACGTATCTAACGTACAAACTCTCACTTCCAGCACTTCTTGACTTCTGCCCTGGCCTGGAAGACCAGTATGCGATAGAGTATGACGCGCAGGCGAAGTTCTCCTGCAAAATGACTCTGCCGAACGCCGAGGCGACTTGGTACAGGGATGACGAGAGGATCGACAACTCGGATAAATACGAAATCCTCGTGGACGGACAAGTCCACACTCTAATCATCAAAGATATCCGGTTGGATGATGACACGTCCTACTCTTGCGCGTCCAAGCATCGCAAAACTACGGCGAAGCTGTTCGTCGAAGGTACCAGAGAAAGAAAAACGGCAGCACTGTCTGTACATGCTTGCGAGTAGGCGCTTCATGTGACTCTGCGTTTTGCGCGATATGTTCGGGCTTTCGTTCTCCTTTGCGTAAGGATGGTGTGTTCTTCGGTAGTTTTGTTACAACGAAGGGCACATCAACCTATGGGGAGAAAAACTCTGAATGTATTCTTGCGAGCTTAACGATGCTTTCATAATGGCAAAAGCGTTGTACAGCATTTGCCAGTTGTGGCTGACCAGTTGATCCTGTTCTCACTTTACGTACTTTCGGTCAATAAATGTGGACTCATTATAGTCCCTCTGAAAAGAAAATGATGATCATCACTGTTCAGTCAAAACTGGCAATATTCTCAATATTGCGACTCTTCAATGCTGCGATACATGTACTTCTGCCGTCCAGACGGCCTAGGCATTAGGCTAGGCTGGGCTTAGGACTAGGCTTTTAAAATATGCTTCTATCTTGGAGAGCAATGCGATATCTCATTGCGCTTTTGGTGATTCCAGTGTCCGCAATGGCCTTTTATGTCACCAGCATTACGCGTACGCTGCACAGGGCACAGTAGATGCTTAGTAAACTGAAGGTTAACATCTCTCTAACATCTTACAGCTCTGGCGGACTTCCGGCAGGGTCTGGAAGACCAGTACGCAGTAGAGGGCGACGAAAAGGCGCAGTTCTCGTGCGAAATGAGCGTGTTTGACTCCCCTGCGGTTTGGTACCGTGAGGAAACTAAGCTGGAGAGTGATGATAAATACCAGCTCGACCAGGACGGGAACTTCCACTATCTCACCATCAAGGATGTGAAGAAAGAGGACCAGACTGCGTACTCGTGCGAGTCCAAGCACAGGAAAACTACAGCCACTCTACATGTGGAAGGTATCGGCTCAGGGTGCCAAATTCTGCTTCGCTCTTCCTTTAGAACTTGTCTTCATTCTGCTTGAGGCGTAGATTATCAAGTGCTTTGCGTGAGTTCTTATTGCCAGAGTATGACATCTTATATAGCAACTATAGATTCTCAAGTTTACATTTCATCCTTTATCAATGAATCAAAACCTTAAAGCTTTTTGACAATTTGCAGTTTTACTCAATAATACTTAGTAAGAGTAAGGCGCAGTATTTCTATCTATAATTGAATCTACATGTAGATTGCACATTTCTACACTTTAAGGCTTTGCTAATGAATTGCGATTGAGCAATTCATTAGTTTAGTGAGCTTCTGTTGCGCATTTGACTCAAACTCTTCACCCTTCATTCACTGACTACTCTGGTATCACTTCCAGCGCTGATATTTTTCGAGCAAGGTCTAGAAGACCAGTACGCGATCGAGGGTGATGCGAAGGCCAAGTTCGAGTGCGAAATGTCTCAGCCCGGCGAGTCAGCAAAGTGGTTTAAGGATGAGGAAGAGCTTCAGGAAAACGACAAGTACAAGATGAGTGCAGTTGGGAACAGCCACACTCTGACCATCCATGATATAGTCGTAGACGATCAGACCATGTACTCGTGTGCTTCCAGACACCGCAAAACAACTGCCAAATTATACGTAGAAGGTACATTCTGTGGCCAAATCCTGCATGCTGTGTTCAAAATAGCTTGACATTGTTAAAAAACAGCAAAACAAATTATGGAAACTTAGTCTAAAACAGGCACTTATGCTCAGCGCTTTATACATTGAAATCCTGGCAACATGCTAAGCGTAAAAGAATCTATATAATAGATCTTATTGTTGGCTAATTGTTTAGAACATCCATACTTTGGCATTTTACCTAAAACCCTCGAGCAGACTTCTTTTGTAAGGGCTGCATTGCTTTGGAAATCTTATTACCATTGCCAACAGTTCTCTTAATGTATTCTCAAAAGACATTCAAACAAATGCATTGAAGGAGGATGTGTCATCATCACTTTCAGGTGTAATTGACTTTGAGCCTGGTCTGGAGGACCAGTACGCCGTGGAGTTTGACAAGCAGGCGAAGTTCTCCTGTAGAATGACTCAGGAAGACGCTGAGGCAACTTGGTACAAGGAAGAAGAAGTTATCGAAGCTTCAGACAAATTCGAAATAGTCCGAGATGGCCACGAGCACCATCTTATCATTAAAGATATCAAACTAGAAGACCAGACCAACTATTCGTGCGCGTCCAAGCATCGCAAAACAACTGCGAATCTCTTCGTAGAAGGTATCTTAAGTTTGTAATCTGTAGATGCAATTCTGCGCTTAATGTGTTCTTTATGGCAGCGGCAGCGTGATTTTGCTTCAGGTTTACATACTAGTAAGTCTTTTTTCTCTGCTCTTGGATGGTACATGTCTACCTTAAAGTAAGACAAAGCATAGAGAATGTTTGGGTTTTCTTTGATTGCAGAGGAAAGGGACTTATAGGCAATGTGCGAGCGTTGTTCATGTACACTACTTCAGCTTCTGCGTCAAAACTCTGCTTCTAGCTGCGAGTGCTTTATCTGCGTAGTCCAATAGCGGGACTAGAAACAATTGTGTAATTGTCCAATGAGCTTTTGCGACAATGTAAGCTTACTTGCATCTAAGTAAACTCTTCTAGGTGCTTATACCTGCCACAATGAAGGACATGCATTAGGTTAAGCTTCGCCTTTGCGTAATTTAGAAGACCAATGATGATGGCGCTGCTTTCCTATGTTTTACAGGGCATTTCTCTTTACTGTTGAGATTAAAAGCGCAATAGATATGCTTTGCGTCTATGCGTAGACCGTTCTAGGCGCTTGTATATACTTGCCTCAGCGAAGAACTTGCGTTAGTTTAAGCTTCTGCGTAATTTAGAGGGCAACCAAACAGCGCATTGGCTCTGCTCTGCGTCACTTGCTGATGAAGGTCTTCTCCTTCCTATGAACAAATAACAACAGTTAGTTATCCCCAACAGCGTTTATCGACTTTGAACCTGGCCTTGAGGACCAGTATGCGGTGGAAGCTGATGAGAAGGCGCAGTTCACCTGCAAGATGACCAAGGCCAATGCCGACGCCACCTGGTTCCGAGATGACATTGTTCTGGAACAGTCTGATAAATACGAGATGCTCGTTGACGGTCAGGTTCATACTTTGATCATCCACGACATCCTGCTGACGGACCAGACGGCCTACTCATGCGCCTCTAAACACAACAAAACAACCGCCAACCTGTTTGTGGAAGGTAACGATGAGCGAAACTCTGTTAACTAGACTTGCGTGCAATCTGCATTAGGTATAGGCTGCGCGGCAACTGCTTTTCCAATGGTCATTTCAAATGTTGCTTTACTTTGAAAAGTAACAAGGTTTAATGTAGATACTGCTAGTGCTTTGTTGAAAAGGATCAACACTTTGCTGTTATCAAAGACGCTAATACCCAAAAAAACTCACCAAAATTGATCTTTGGCAGCTTTTGTAATCACAATTTCACACTGAAGTATTGTTGATGGCTTACTGGGCTTACCCTGTTTTCATGTTTGCTACAGGTTTGCTTTAAAGTAGACAAGCTATATCTGTATGGAAATTGCTCCTGTTCTTAAAAGAAAAAAGTCACACTTTCGAAATGTTGCAAACTCTACTCTTTCAGCGCTAATCGACTTCCCCAGTAAGCTCAAAGACCAGTACGCGGTCGAGGGCGATGCGAAGGCCGTGTTTACCTGCCAAATGACGGCAGCGAACAGCGAGGCTACCTGGTACAGGGAGGACGACGTTCTGGAAAAGTCTGACAAATACGAGACTAGCGTAGACGGGTATGTTTACATGCTGGTGGTGAAGGATGTGAAGAGAGAGGACGAGACCTACTATTCCTGCGCATCGAAACACCGCAAAACTACTGCAAACCTTTACGTGGAAGGTACAGCAAATACAGGCGTTGTGCTTAAAAATGCGCTTCTGATGACCACCTGCTTAATTCTGCTGCTACCAATGCAATTCTTTATTACACAGAACAAGTGCATGATTTCTATATCTTCGGGAATAGAACCAAACATTTTATTCAATCTCCCCTTTTGCTTCTCTACTGAAAACATGCTAAACTTTCTTTGCCTAGAATGAAAGGACTCAATCCTGACATTGCGTATATCCAATAGGCTACATGCATAGCTTTACTGGCATAAACTGAAAAACTTCAGAACAAACATTTTCTTTTCCTCCTTGGCGCTTCACTACTTGAAAACTTTTTCTTGCTGGCAAACTTTGACAACGCTCACTGTGATAGCTGCTTTTTATTCTTTTGACAAGTTCTTGAACACTTGACTCTTCCATGGCTATACAGGTAGAATCTACTACTCTTGCAGCTTGTTCACTGTTGCGACTCCGTTTCAGTTCCTGCCAAATTTGTGCTGGGGATGGAAGACCGGCACGCGATCGAGGGCGACGAGCAGGTCGTGTTTAACTGCGCCATGTCCGAGCCCGACCGCCAGGTCACCTGGTACCGCGAGGACGAGCCTCTGGCCGCCGATTTCAAATACGAGCTGGTATCGGAGGGCACGATGCACAGACTGATCATCAGGGACGTTAGGCGGCAGGACGAGACCACGTACGCGTGCGCGTCCAAAGATGACAGGACAGAAGCGAACCTTACAGTGGAAGGTAGAAAACGGTTGAGAAAAATCATAGCGCTTTGGCTTCAGTACTTATGGCGGCATTTAGCATAAGAAATAGCGCTTTGGCTTTATCGCTTACGGCGAAATAATAGGGTATTGGCTACATTGTTTAGGGCGACATTAGCATAGATATTAGCGCTTTTGCTACATTGTTTAGGGCGATAGTAGAAGGTACCATAGTGCATAAGAAATACCGCATAAGCATAGCATATAAGAAATGGCGCTTTGGCTTTATTGCATAGGGAATTAGTGTAAGGAAGCATAGCACATCGGTAATAGCGCTCTTGCTTTGTCGCATAGGGCGACCTTTTGCTTCTTAGTGCGCGTGTTGTGATATTTTAGTGCGTTAATGTTACATCATAGATTGCCTGCGCTGCACACTTGATTACGTAAACGCATAATGCTTTCAAAGCGTAAGGCGTATACTGCTTGAAATAAGTAGATAGAGGACAGCTCCATCGGTGAGATAGCTAGTGCGTTGTAGCTACTGCTTTGCGATCTACAGATATAATATTAATCATTCCACCAATACCGTTAAATACAAACTATAGACTTCCAGATCTGCAGGATAGGCTTTAGTAATTGCCTGAAAGTTGCGTTCCAAGCTTTGCTATGAGTTGCTGCTATTAGGGTTAGCTGCGTGCTACCTCAGGCGCTCTCCTGTCAGTTTATTATCTATATTACATGTTACATAACCTATGCTGCTTCGCTATGAGTTGCTGCTGCCAGGGTTAGCTGCGTGCTATAGCTTAGGCGGTTTCTTACATGTTACCGTAACCTCCTCTGCCACTATCCCACCCCCCAGTCCTGCACAAGTTTACCCAGGGTATGGATGACCAACGCGCGACGGAGGGCGACGTGGAAGCCGCCTTCACCTGTCTCATGTCCGAAGAAGACGCGAAAGTCCAGTGGTACCTGGAGGGCCAGCAGCTCGAGCCCAGCGACAAGTTTGAGATGGTCACAGACGGGAAACTGCAGGAGCTCATCATTAAGAACATTGTGCTTGAGGATGAGACCGAGTACACCTGTATGTCTAAGGACGACTCCACTACAGCGAAGTTGTATGTGGAAGGTACGGCAACTGTAATAGTTAGGCTTCAGACAATTCACTTCACTTACTTCTTTCAAGCCTAAGGAAAATCCTAAGGGCACAGTTACAGTAACATCTGTGACATAACATAATGAGGCTTCAAGCAAATTTTGGAAACTTTTTAGAGCTTTATTTGTCAAACTTACTTCACTGAAATTCTTTCAAGCCAAACCAATTGGTAAATACTAAATTAAATATTACTGTAAAAGTAACATTGAACGTCTCTGTGACATATTGTGACAAAAAAGTATGTCTATTTGGACTCTCATTGGACTTTATTTTTCACCCACTTAAGGTTGTTTGTGTATTTGGCAATTTCCAAATTCTTTGTTACTTTCAATGGCCTAATGTTTGAAGAAAGCAACTTCTTCCTTGAAATCTTTTGCTAGTTGTTGATTCGATATTTTCCATATTCCCTCAGCACTACCGCCTGAAATCAAGCGTGGTTTGGAGGACGTAGAGATCTATGAAAAAGAAACCGCGTCCTTCGAAATAGAACTTACAAAACCCGTTGAGGAATTCTCCTGGTTCAAAAAGGGAGAGAAACTCGAGGCCGGTGAAAAAGTCGCCATCGAGAGAATGAACGACCTGACCTTCAGGCTGATCCTGCGCGATGCCGTTCTAGAAGACGAGGGTTCGATCAAATTCGAATCTGGTGACCTGAAATCTACTGCTATGCTCACTGTTCTAGGTAACCACGTATACATTGTTCTTGCGCAAAGATGGTTGATTGCTTTTTTGCTTTTAGCGAATAAAATGCCAGTTCAAAAAGACATATATGTCAACGCAACTGCTTCAATACCACAGCGCGTTATATGCAAAGGCTAGTCATATTTCTAGCGCATAGAATGCTTTATATCCTGCTTCATTACTAGGGAATATGCTAAGGTTAGTTATATTTCTAGCGCATAGAATGCTTCATAAACTGCTTCATTACTAGGAAACTTTAATTGGCAGCTTTAGTTTTGCACTACCGGCTACTGTTTAGCTCCAAGCATGTAGCTGTATTCCTGCAAATACTACAAGCTATAAGCGATTAGTTAAGGCTTAAAATTTAAAGTAGAAGCGATGATAAACATATAATTCACGCTTTGCTCATGGCGCTAGAGTTACTCTGCTTCTGCTTAGTACATAGTCCTTGCTGCTGCGGCATACTGTAGTATAAAGGGAAATGCAAAGCTTTTTCCTATCTTCTGTGCGGCAAGAGCGTACTACCCGAGCTTGGCTTCTGCATGTTACCACGGACGTCAGATGTAGACTAACCCGACTCCTCATCAGCTCTTCCTTCTGAGATCGAGAAGAATCTTGAAGACGTGGAGATCTACGAGAAGGAGACGGCAACGTTCGAGCTTGAGCTGACGAAGCCAGTGGATGAGTACAGGTGGTACAAGAAGGGTGCAGTGCTGGAGATGGGAGAGAAAGTGAAGATGGTGGAGGAAGGGTCACTGTACAGACTCACGCTCGAGGACTGCCAAGTGGACGACCAGGGAGCGGTCAAGTTCGAGTCCGGACATGTCAGACCCTCCGCTAGTCTCATTGTCAAAGGTACTGCTTTATGTGGTAGCCTTCTCTTTAATCTTTGCTTTGACTATGTGACTTAATTTAGATCCACACTTAGCTTCAGTTTACACTGTTTGCTATCATTCATTGTACAAGACAGGAAGACTGCAAATAGAGACGCAAACCATGCATACTGCTTGATGTGACAGGCTGTAGCCTTCACTTGGATTCTTGTTTTCTTTTATCATAAGTGTTTTTTGTACTGAACAGTAGAGGGCAAAACAGTCCTCTTCCTGTATTGTACTTCCCCTAGCAGCTGGAATCTGCAACTGTGAGAATTTGCAAGAAAAATCTTACAAAATGTGAACTTCAAGTTAGATTTAAAAAAAGAAAAGAATCATTTGGTTTATTATGGATTTCGGTCTTTGCACAATGATCAAAAAGTCCCCTTTGTCAAATTTCCGGAAAAAAAGTAGAATCATTTGGTTTATACCAACATTTTCACCCCTAACATTATGTGATAATAACGTCCCGCTTGTCTCTAACACCACAGCTCTCATCAAGTCGCCTCACGGTCTCCAGGATCAGACGATCTTCGAAACCGAAACTGCGAGTTTCGAGATCGAGCTGGCGCGACCTTTCGACGAGTTCACGTGGTCTAAGAACGGCGAGGCGCTGACCTCAAGTGACACCGTTGTCATGGAGAGGGACCAGTGCGTCTATCGTCTGACGCTCCACAAGTGTCGTCTGAGCGACACCGGAGAAATCAGATTCGGGTTCCTAGACCTCGAGTCTACCGCTAAGCTCACAGTGAAAGGTACCTTCATTGTCATTTGTTGTTGATGGCTTCAAGCTTTCTGCGATAGCTGCGCAAGTTATACACATGCAAATTTAGCCGATAGCCGCTGCATAGTACGTAGATTAAGGCAATAGTTTCCCACACACTTGAAATACGTTTACTTAGCAGTTACAGGTGGCGTTATAAAGGCAGATACATGCGGAGTCCAGAAGAGCAAACACTACAATGTACATTATACACACTTGCTTCGTGCAGATGTATATTTGCTTAATGCTACATGTAGCTGAACTATATTGCGTCTCAAGCTTGCGATTCCGCTACTGCAATAAGTCATAATCAATCACTTGTAATTTTCATGTTGTTATTTAGAGAAATAAGTGGCTTCTGCAAAGCGCCTTGCACGAATCGGCGTATCTATGTACTATATTCTCTACATACATGTACATGTACATGGCTTTGCAGACTTTTCTTCTGCATTTCTTTGTCCATATCTTCCCCATTGGCAGTCTCTATGTCCAGCAGAACCACCGGCTCTATATAGTTGTACGTCTTAATCTTAATCGCCTTTGCGTTTTGTACTGATGTATTGACCGTTATTCACCCTTTGCGTTCTTGTACTGACGCATATTGGCCGTTATCCACCTAGCTCTGCTTAAGAAGGGTCTTCAGGACCGCGAGGTGTTTGAAACAGAAACCGCCGTGTTCGAGACGGAACTCTGCAAACCCGTGGACGAGTTCCGCTGGTTCCGTAAAGGCGAGGTTCTCGTTCCTGGGGCGGACGTGGTGTTTGAGACGGAGGAGGCACGCTACAAGCTGTCGCTGAAGAACTGCCGTATGGCCGACGCCGGGGAGATCAAGTTCGAGTTCATGGGCCTGGAGACTGCCGCGAATCTCACTGTCAAAGGTAGAGCTGTCTGACGTGCAGATATCCCTGCTGAAGCTGTGTTCTTAGGCTTTAGAAACTCATTGGCCCAATATTCAGCTTTTAGAGAAAATATTATCCAAACGTTCAGTATCCATGAATCAACAACTTGTTGAAGATATTTCCAAAAATCTTCCCTGGCTAGTAGATTGTGCACTCAAGCTGCATCTAGTTCTGAAGCTTTGGAAAAGTTTTGAAGCTTTAGAAAAGTTCTGAACTGCGATTCATTTTGTATAGAGTCTGAAGTAAATGATCCAAATTGGTTAACTTGATCCAAATGTCTGCGTCTAGTTTTAAAGCTTTGTAAAATCATTTGCCCTCAATTTGGCTTGTAGGGAAAAGATTGTCAAATCTTTCAATTCTTTTGTTACTTTAATGCTTGATCCAAAGGTAAAATATCAATGTCAATTAAAAGTCCTTTACAAAGATCTTAGTCTTAGGCAGGAAGGACAGAATTGTTACCTTCTTTCCTGGCACGTAGACTGCAGCATATTGACTGCTTAAAGAACTTCATATCATATTATTTTGACATAAATATTGCTGGCATGTAGAAATGACTCCTCAGAAAGATTCTAATTGTCCATTCCTCGCTGCTTAACCAGATATGATAAAGAAGGGTCTTGAGGACGTGGAGATCTTTGAGACGGAGAACGCGTCGTTCCAAATCATCCTGGCCAAGCCCATAGAGTCGTACTCCTGGCACCAGAAAGGGCAGAAACTGGAGGAGAACGAGAACGTCGTGATGCAGGTGGACGAGTTCATCTACAGGCTCACGCTCAAGAACTGCTCCATGGAGGACGCCGGAAGCATCAAGTTCGAGTTCTTTGGCATCGAGTCCAACGGCTCGCTCATTGTCAAAGGTGCAGAATTTTGCAGCCTTGCTGAAAGCGCTTTTTAAATTGATAGGTAGAAAGCTACAGGTTTGACTCTCGGTAGCTGGCATTGACTCGTAAAATGTTACAAAGTTTTAACTTATTGCGGCTCTCTCATTGTCAAAGGTGCAACATTTTGCAGCCTTGCCGAAAGCGCTTCTTGAAGTGATAGATAGAGCACTATTGGCGTGATGCTCTGTTTTCCTGTCACAGTTAGTAGTAAAACTTTCCTAATACTTTATTGCAGCATAAAAAAGAACTTTCGCTAACTTTTCACTTTCACACACTTCTCTCCAGACCTTCTGAAGAAGGGTCTCGATGATGTAGAGATCTTTGAGAAGGAGACGGCGTACTTCCAGGTAGTGCTAGCTAAGGCTGTGAAGGATTTCCGCTGGTTTAAGGCCGGCGTGATCCTTGAGCCGAGCGACGATTGCCTGATACGAGCCGAGGGCGTTCTGTACAGCCTGACGCTAAAGCATTGCGTGATAGAGGACACGTCTGCGATCAAATTTGAGTTCCTGAACCATGAGACTTCTGGACAGCTGATTGTCAAAGGTACCTTGTATTGTGTCCTGCTGCGCTGGCTTCTGTATACTTCAGAATCTGTACTAGTGCGCTTCTTCCAAACGGAAGACATCTGCTGCGATTCTGCGTGTTGTGTGTGCGCTTTGCTTCAAGACTTTTAAAGCAACTGAAGAAATTCCAAAACTTGCTTCGTCAAAAAGGTCGATAAAAATTAACTTTGGCTTCTATGCTGTTTTGCTATAAGCTTTCATAAAATGCAACATCTTCCATAGATGGACTTGAATCATGCACAAGATTGTGTTTTGGATAAGAAAACTTATCTGAAACAGATAAAGATTTTAGTCACTAGCTTTTGCTGATTGAAACATTTACAAGTTAACCCTCACAGTGCAAGAGTCAATTAGGCAAATTAACTGCTCTGTGAAGGTTAAGCATCTCTTACACATTGCCATGAGTTAGCGATGTAGCAGGTACATTACCACCTTTTCCAATGCACAATTCGTAAGGCAGCAGGGAGAAGGTTAAACATCTCCTACGCATTGCCGTGAGTGAAGCATGCCTTAGTGACATATAGCAGGGCCGGTGTGCAAACACACAGCGCTTTTAAAGCATACAGCACAGAGCTCCTCTTCAGGCCTTATATTTAGTGATATTGCTGGGGATTAACCCTTCCCCACCTGTGCGCAGCCCTGCCGCCTCAGCTGCGGCGCGACCTGAAGGACCAGGAGATCTGGGAGGAAGAGGCCGCGCGGTTCGAGCTGGAGCTGACCAAACCGGTCGACGTTTACAGCTGGTTCCTGAAGGGCGAGGAGCTGGCACAAGGAGAGAATGTCGTGTTTGAGGATGACGGAAACGTGCACCGCCTGATTCTGCTGAACTGTCGGGTGGATCAGACCGGCGCCGTGCGATTCAGCACGGGCGGACTCATCTCGTCCGCCACGCTCGTCGTCAAAGGTAGTAGTCAGGACAAGCCCGGCAACTGCCGGCGGCTTCGCTTTGCTGTGTTATCCAGAACTGTGCTTTATCCTGAACCTAGCCTGGGTATGGTTCTATGGATAGTCCACGCATATCCAGAACCGTCATTCTTGGATATGCGGAGACTATCGACAACCGTGCCTGAGCTACGCTGCGTGTGCTTCATTGTATCCTGAACAATGTTTGGGTATGGTTCTCAGAATAGTCTGCGTGTATCCAGAACTGTGCCTGGGGCAAATCTGTGTTCTTGGATACGTGGAGACTATCTAGAACTGTGCCTGAGCTATGCTGCGTGTGCAATTAAGTTACAGCGCTTTCATGTGCGTGTGCCAAGCTTCTCTGCCATCAGCGTTATTCTAAGCTAGGATATACTTTTACTCTCTTTGCGATTGCAATAGGTACTATAGCGCGGCATCATGCAGTTGCAACAGATTGTGCGCTTTGCCTTTGTACTTAATTGTTCTTTGCCTTTCTTTCTTTCTTGTCAGGAACGCTGCTTAATATACAATGCGCTTATCACATTGTAAATTGTACCATCCTGGAAGCATTTAAAGACATTTCCACTCTTATGAAATGTAAAAAAAGAAATGGCATTTCTAGACCATTTTATAAGTGAGGAAACAATGATTGCATCCAGGATTCAGGCGTTGCTTTGTTCAAACTGTCGCTAGATTCTGCTGCGTTCACTTGCGTTTGCTGCGGTCTCAATTATCACTGTGTATTTCTTGTTCCAAGGTTTATTAGTTATTGCTCAATGGCACAACACCACATCTCACAAACAGGGCATTGTCTTCACCACCAAGTCTCCATTATATAATCCAGTCACCACTAGAAAGTTAGCTATCTCAGTAGTCCTACCAGCACCTTATACTAACAGACATCTTTCTCATCTCAAGGACATTAACATCTGGTTCTTGTCTCCTCTAACAATCTTTCATTCATTCATTCATTCATTCCATCATGCTAAAGTAAGACCAAGTCATTAGTCTACTAACCCTGTCCGTCTGCTTTTATTTAATTAGCTGAACCTGTAGATATAATCAGAGGCCTAGCCGATGTAGAGATCTACGAAACCGAGACCGCTGTTTTTGAAATCGAGCTGAGTCGTCCGGTCGAGGACTTCATATGGTTCCAAAAAACGGACGAAGTGTTTGCACACGATCGAGTGGTGATACAGACAGAGGGCCATGTGTGTAGACTGGAGCTACGTGGGTGTCAGCTCTCTGATCAGGGCAGGGTTCGGTTTGAACGCGGATTGTTGAGATCACAGGCTATCCTAGTAGTGAAAGGTATCATGATCACATCTGAATTCTAACGTTTGCATGTCGATTATTCGTTCATCTTTCATTGCAAACTCTTGCCCAAAGTACAAATAGAACATTTGATAATGAAATACTAACAATAATGACAAGATCCCTATAGCTAGGACTAAAACTTATTTATCACATGTCCTGGTGGTAGCTTTAGTGACCAACATCATCATCATAATTGTGCATCACTTGCTAACAAGTTAGTTAGTGTTAGTGTTAGGGAACACCTCAATCCACTTAGGTTGTTACTTAAACTGTGTTAAAAGTGAGAGCATGCTTTATTTCATTGTAATGTCATTAGATACGACTTAACAACATAACATGTGCCCTGGCCTACCTCACGATAGATGAACAGATTATTATCCAAGCCATTCTTTGCTTTACGTAGTTATGGTGTACACTTACACAGACACATGAGCTATCTCCTTCCTTGCTTTGCGTCCTGTCCCCGCATACAGTATTGTTAGATTCAGCGCTCTATACATGTACATGTACAATTATAGTCTTATTGAAGCTCCCCCTTCTGCTTTGCGACGGTCCTGCAGCTAGCGGCTCATCCCACTTCTCTTGCAGGGGTGTCAGGGTCATGGTTATTCTCTACAGTTTTTCATCTGATCTTCTCTCTCCCCCCATCGCTAAATCAGCACTACCCATTGAGATTATCCGCGGCCTGACTGACCAAGAAGTGTTTGAGATGGAGAGCGCTTCCTTCGAGATCGAGCTCAGCCGACCCGTGGAAGACTTTAAGTGGTACCAGAAGGGTATAAAGCTGGAGGAGACCAACAATGTTTCCTTCGAGGTTGTTGATGAGCGAACGTACAAGGTGGAGCTGAGAGACTGTCACCTGGAGGACATGGGGACTGTACGGTTTGAGGCCGGCAGTGTCAAACCGTCTGCTACGCTCATCGTGAAAGGTACACAGAGCTGGGACCTGGCTGATGCGCATTTGTACCTGCTGCGATATATATATATAACAAATGTATATGCTGCATATTTATTTAGTACTGCTGCGATATATACCTAGTATTGTGCATTTAATTTAGTACTGCTGCGTTATATATAATTTATATGCTGCTGCACAGTTGAGCTTTATGTAGAGATGCTATGGCCTTTAAGTTAGGATGAGCTTTATATGTGTCTAGATCATCTGACATGCTATATATATATATATGGGCAAAATTGGCTGGTCCTTGGCTATTGACAGACTTTTTCAGATGTCAACAGGAATAATATGTCATGGCTATCTATAGCATGATGCTTCTGCTTATACATGTATGCGTAGTTCATGTGTACATGGCTTAGAGATATTTTTACTATAGGATGATTTGCTTCGTGTCACAGCTAAAGATGAGCCTACATGTAGATATGCAAGATATAAATGCAAGTATTTCTTCAAGCTCTATAGGACAGAGCCTTAGATTTGCTTCCTTTTAATACCTTAAAACGTCTTTAAGATGGCTGCATGGCTGATGATAGTGCTTAATTGCGTATTTGCCTTAAGCATCTTTTTGTATTGTAGGTTTGCCTCTCGAGCAAACATTACCAGACATACATATAACTGGCGTTGGTAAATCCCACCGGAGGTTAGTACATATAGTACATAGGTGTGGTAACTCACCCCCTCCCCCCTCCCCGCACAGCGTTGCCTATAGAGATCATCCGCGCCCTGCAAGACCAGGAGGTGTTCGAGCAGGAAAGCGCCTCGTTCGAGATCGAGCTCGGCCGCGCCCTGCCCGGCGCCAAGTGGTACAAGAAGGGCGCGGAGCTGGAGAGTTCCGACACGGTCAAGATCGAGCAATCGGACCGGACGTATAAACTTGAACTTCTGGACTGCCAGCTGAGCGACATGGGCACCATCAAGTTCGAGTGCGGCCCCGTCAGGCCCACCGCCACACTCATTGTCAAAGGTACAGACAGACTGGCTACTTCAGTACTGCTGCGAGCTCATGTGCATGTGGCGCCACCTAGTGTGAATGGTTCAGTACTGCAGATTCCAACCTTGCTAATACATGTACTAAATACTTTACTGCAGGCCCACTGCAACACTCATTGTCAAAGGTACAGACAGACTCGCTACTTCGGTACCGCTGAGAGCTCACGTGCATGGCAGGCTGCGGCGCCGCTTAGTGTCAGGGTCAAGTACTGCAGATTCCAATCTTCCTGACAAATACTTGACGAATGTATAAACTTGGTCCAGAATAATTCACTACAAACTGACAAAATATAGATGCTGAAAAAGCATCTCTCAAAGAAATTCAGAATATAAATGAGCATTCTTGATGATTTCAATTAGGTCCATTTTACCTAGAAACTAAAGATCTTTCACAGGCTATAAAATGATCGGAATCTTTGGTAAAATGACCCACTGCTTTGGCAATAGAAATCTACTGCCATCTCTGATCTGCTTACGCGTTATGTAGTCCTCTATCAAAGCTCAGCGCTTTGCTATTGTCTCCATACAGCAATGAATATATTATGTAATCACCAGTAACTGTTTGAAGATTTAGAAGCTTCCTGCAAGATTCGTGTCATGCCTAATAAGTCCGATGGCAAAAATTAGCCATGAAAAATAGCTGTAGCTTTGCGCATTGCAAACTTTGCAGTTGTCTGCAGTTTGCAGATATCTACCAATCTGCACGGCGATTATAGTTAGAAAATGCAAACAACTTTGAAGCTCAGGCTTTGTACAATTTAATGTAATTAGATATGTTGGGGTATTGTGCTTGATAATCAGTAGTAGATTTGTGCGAATGGTTGTACTTTGTTGTCTCAATGTGTACATTTCCTTTCAGGTTAGTGTTCAATCACATTGAATAATCTTGCCAATGTTAACTCATAGTATGCATACTAGGAACAGAAAGGCAATGGCTAAATCTGACTTACTCCTGTACTCATAATGCGTTAGAAACAATAGGAACTTGCGCCTAACCAGAAAGAGCTTTGCGTGATTAAGCCTGGGAACTAGTACATGATGACCTAGGGCGTCTCGTAATACTTAGAATATGCTTCTGAGCTAACTCCAGTTTGGATCTACAGCAACTTTTATCTACAATAAAGCTGTGAGAAAAGTTTGACGCTAATTTAAGCTTTGAAAGAGCTGCTACCAAATTGAATCTAAGAGCTAATATTGAATTGATACTAGTCTTTATACTTTTTTCACATCTTAACAATGTGCCACTTTGATATACATATAATTGTGATCTTTAAGCACCTTTTACTCCTATGAACTTCTCCAATGCAGAAGCTGTGCATATTGAGTAAACTGCAGTTCAGATTATAACGGTAGATGGGGTACCTAACCTGTCCCCTGCTTCCCCTATATATATAGTCTCCTCATCTTGCGCTCTTCCCTCCTCTCTCTAGCTCAACCAATCTCCAGGACTTAGTTAAAGCGCTGATGCCTTCACATGTTAAGCTGCTTATTGAGTAACCATAGCCCTGCAGTTCAGATTTGTGACAGTAGATGGCGTACCTAACCTGTCCCCATGCTTCCCTCTCCCCCCTCTGTCACAACCTATTGAATGTGTAGAAGCTGCTTATTAGTAAATTGAGAAACCATAGCCCTGCAGTTCAGGTTTATAACAGTAGATGGCGTACCTAACCCATCCCCATCCTCCCTCTAGCGCAACCTATCGAAGTCATCCGAGGTCTCCAGGACCAGGAAGTCTTCGAAAGCGAAAGCGCGCAGTTCTTTATCGAGATCAGCAGGGTGATCGAAGAGTTCCACTGGTTCAAGAAGGGTCACCTCCTCGAGCCTGGCGAAGATGTGATCGTCTCGAGAGACGATCGAACGTACAATCTGGAGCTGCGCAACTGTCAGATTTCTGACATGGGCACGATCCGGTTCGAAGCCGGGCCGGTCAAGCCTACAGCAACTCTCATTGTGAAAGGTAGTACCATGTACAGGGCTGCCAGGAAAAAACGCTTTCAGTGTGAACTGGTGCTCAGTTCACTGCGCTTTCAGTGTAAAGTTGGCGAAATTGCTTTCAGTATGAACCAGTGCTAGGTTCACTGCGCTTTCAGTGTAAAGCTGCCAGGGAAAACCGCTTTCAGTGTGAACTGGTGCTCAGGTTCACTGCGCTTTCAGTGTAAAGCTGCCAGGGAAAAACGCTTTCAGTGTGAACCAGTGCTAGGTTCACTGCGCTTTCAGTGTAAAGTTGGCGAAATTGCTTTCAGTATGAACCAGTGCTAGGTTCACTGCGCTTTCAGTGTAAAGTGGCGAAAACGCTTTTAATGTGAACAGTGCTCATTTGTTCACAGCGCTTCTAGTGTAAAGCTGCCAGGAGAAACCGCTTTCAGTGTGAACGGTGCTCAGTTCACTGGGCTTTCAGTGTGCCGGGAGATCCTTTATCCGTGGGACTGGTGTGTGAACATGGATGGTGTGTGTGCATCTTCACACGCAATTTGCGTTCACACATCTTCCAGTGGTTGAAGGTTCTCCGGCAATGTTGTTGCCATGGTACCCAGAACGGCATTTTCATACCAAGAAAACCACCGTTCTCTGTACTGCTCTCTGCGCTCAAACATCCACATTATGTCGCGTGCGAATCTGCTTTAGTTTTAAAAATTCAGACTTATTGCCAAGATGCAAACTTAGATAGACTGATCCCATACAAAATTATACATCTGCAGCTCAGCTTATAGTAGGCCAAAAAGAACGAGTATGAATCAAAATGAAGACATGCACAAAATTTGACCAAAATGTGGGGAATTGCTAATTGGCACTCAAATGAACCACAAGGATCAGTCTATCGCACCAGAAAAGACAGGCTTCTTGTTGCTGCGAAGCGTACAGTACATTGCGCGTTTGTGCTTCCTGTTCTCTGGAGCAGCCATGTTTCCGAAACCAAAAACAAAAGACTAAAGACCAGCCCCACAAACTCTGTCCTGCCACTTGCTACATAATGCAATCCAACACCACAGAGTGACTCTGCTACAACGCCAGTTATGTACCATTGTCTGGTCCTGGTCACTGACCTTATTTGTTTGTGACGGAAGAAGAGAAAGAAACAGAGCAAAAACAACATTCTGTGAAGGTAAACATAAACAGGTCGGAAACATGGCTGTTCTAGAGCTGCTTTATGTCCATAAGAAGCGTATCTGTAAGCAGCATGTGCCGGGCGAGGGACCATGCCGTTGCTATGCCAACACAGACAACATTTCCTCACACCCCTCCCTCTCTCCCTCCCCCCCCTCAGCGCTGCCCATCGACGTCGTGCGTAACCTCCACGACGTGGAAATTTACGAGGCGGAAACCGCGAACTTCGAGATCGAGCTGAGCCGGCCACTGCCGGTGTTCAAGTGGTTCAAAAAGGGCCAGGAGCTGGCGGCGACTGACGACATCAGTATTGAGCAGGACGAGCGAACGTACAAGCTCGAGCTGCGGAACTGTGTGATGAGCGACATGGGAACGATCACGTTCGAGGCCGGACCGCTCAAGCCAACGGCCATGCTTATTGTGAAAGGTATAATTACTCAGCTGCGTGTAATGCTTAAGGCTGAAGGCGATCGTGTCTTTTGCTTCGGCGGCGCATTTTCTTATTACAATTTCTTGCATGCTAGATGTACATGACATTGTGTAGATATAATTTCTCCAACAGCGATGCTTGGTAAGATATTAAGCTGCGATTGATAATGCCAGCGATCGTCTAGATTTTAGCGCATTTCTGTTATTGATATTGCTTGCATGTTGTACATATACTTAGCACTTGCGTAGGTAAAATGTGTCCAATGTAAGGCTAACTTTCATGCGATTTTCTCTTCAGCATTTGTTATTCCTTACTGCCATATCCAACAGGCATAGAGTATAAGCGGGCGGTATAAGCTTGCATACTTCTCAGCTTCTTATTCTTCATATTAGCTGATTATAAACAGCAATAATTGCCAGCTGCGTTCCTACAGCATTCTAATGATGGTAAAGTTACAGAAATTTGCTTAAGATCTTTTACCAGATCTAAGACATCTTCCCACGTTCTAGCCCTGCCCGTGGACATAATAAAGGGTCTTGAAGACGTTGAAGTGTTTGAGATGGAGACGGCGAGTTTCCAGATCGAGCTGAATCGGCAGATTAAGGACTTCCGCTGGTTTAAGAAGGGAGAGCTCCTTGAGAAGGGCGACTCTGTGGAGTACAGTCTTGAGGAGAACACCTACTCGCTCCACCTGCGCGACTGTAAGATTTCTGACATGGGCACGGTCCGCTTTGAGGCCGGTCCAGTCAAACCTACGGCAACTCTGATCGTCAAAGGTACAGCAAACTGTGAACTAACGCTGCGAATAATGCTCAACTGCGCTGCTTTTAGTTTATGCTACCACGGTAGAAATGCTCTCACAAAACACACTGCTTTTTAAATTTAAGTGGTATCTGCTGCAACAGATTAGTCTTGGACACAATTTTTTACCAGAGGCATGTATCCTATGATAAAAAATCATTGAGTATTAAGAAAGGAATTGATAATAATGTGCAATCTGTATGCAACATTAGTATGATGTCTAACTTGCTATCGTATTGCTCAGGATTTTTCAGATGATACTTCTGCTAGCTGCGCTGAGTCCGTTTTACAATTTTGCGCTTTGAATTCTTCAGCGTTCCTTTCTGAATGTTTCACACTAAAACCTTCCTCACAAGCAGCTGACCATTCAGATAACATCTTGTCATTTCAAAGTATGTCAGATTCTCTGACTCACCAAAATGTTTACAATCATTGTAATCTCAGAAGTCACAGAATAAAAAATAACTCCAATATAATGGTCAGCTGCTTTCCATATTTTCACTGCCATTTCCCATCCTCTCTCCCACTTTTATTCCTTCACATACATTATTCACATCTCCATCCCTTCATCCATCCATCCATCCATCCATCCATCCCTCCCTCCCAGTCATCCCATACACCATCCTTGCACCTCTTCATGACGTCGAGATTTTTGAGGAAGAGACAGCCGTGTTTGAAATCACATTGGATCACCCTGTCCCCGAGTTTACCTGGTTCTTTAAAAGCAAAGCCACAGAAGAAAGCGATAGGGTGAAGCTAGAGCAAAAGCACTGCACGTATCGCCTGATTATGAGAGCCTGTAACGTGGATGAAACCGGAACAGTTACGTTCCAAGGCGGTCCGGTCAAGTCGTCTGGCACACTTATTGTAAAAGGTACCACGACTGTCACATGTCATGTAGCTGTTGTGACGTCACATACCGTCTGTCATACATGTAGGTGTCCCGGAATGTTGTGCCAAGTTGTCGTTTTGCAAACGTTTTAGATGTCTGATAGAAATTCTCATATTGGGCTTTCTAAAAGTTTTTATTCCGGTTGCCCCAAAACAAAAGTACAAAAAATTAGCAGAATTTCCCCCATTTTGTGACACATCTCTCAACTTGACATCCAAACCTGTGTTCGTCAGTTTTAGGCAGACATTGTTTAATAGAGAGTCTGTGTAGAGGTGTTCACTGTCCTTTCCTGTCCCAAAATCCCTACTCCCCATTCATTTCTTCCCTCCATCCTTCATCTTGAGTTCTTGTTCTCATCTTGTTCACGACTCTGTAATGTCTTCCTTTCTCTATTCATTTCTTCCCTCAATCCATCTCTTTATCAATTTCCTGGTATCACCTTCCTGTAACTTCCTTCTTTCTCCATTCATTTCTTCCCTCCATCTTGTATTTCTTTAACAATTTCCTGTTCTCATCTGATCCCAACCTTCTCCGCTCATTTCTTCCCTCCTTCACATCTTTTCTTATCAATTTCCTGTTCTCACCTTCCTGTATGTAATGTTCTCCTTTCTCCACTCATTTCTCCCCCCGTGCAACAGCGCTCCCTATCGTGGTGCGGCGCGAACTGCAGGACGTGACTCTGTACGAGCACGAGACCGCAGAGTTCGAGATCGAGCTCGGACGGCCCATCGAGGAGTACAAGTGGTTCCTCAAGAACAAACTCATGGAGGCCAGCGACAGAATCATACTCGAGACGGATGGGGCCAAGTACAAGGTCACCATCAAAGACTGCCTGCTGAGGGACATGGGAACGGTTCGGTTTGAGGCCGGGCCGCTCAAGCCCACTGCAACTCTCATCGTCAGAGGTACCGGCTACAGCCAAGACCTGCGCAACTAGCTCAGAGCTGCAGTATATAGTCTGCTTTCGCATTGGGCTATATAATATAGTCTTGTATCCGTATTTCTCAATGCGCTTTCTATTCAGTGCTCTTTTACTGCGCTTTATGCCAATGCGACAATACTGCTTTGGTTCTATATGAAGTAGAAATGATTGCTACTTTCAGGAGTAGCTTTCATTTTTGCAGCTACCCTGATGTCTTGTTTGAAAGATGTTCTGTTGCCTGGTGAGGTATTCCATCACAGTGACTACATATTAAATTTCAAACTTATACAAACTTTCTTTTAGTTAATTCAGTAACTTGCCTCAGAACATCTATTCAACAAAGCTGAAGGGCCAATACTCGGTTAAAAGAACGCTTTTTTACTGCTTCTTCTTCTTCTCAGCATTGCTTCCAGTACTGCGCTTATTGCATTGTATTGCGTAGATTAGACAAATGTTCAGAGATAGACGCTACACTGCCAATTGCTGCGATCACCATGTCTGTGACACACTTCCTGTGAAGTGGCACCATTTCCTGTTATAACTAACCCCACTGTCAACACCATGTCTAACCCTTCATGTTGTATCTCTCCCACCCTCCCGTCATCTTTTCTTTAGCTCTCCCTGTTGAAATCGTGCGCGAGCTTGACGACCAGGAAGTTTTCGAGACGGAAACAGCCGGATTCGATATCGAGCTGAACCGCTCTGTGGCTGAGTACCGCTGGTACAAGAAGGGAGAACTTCTGGAGGCCAACGATGATGTCAAGATGGAACAAGAAGGACCGACTTATAAACTCTTCCTGAGGAACTGTATGCTGCAGGATATTGGCAATGTCAAGTTCGAGACTGGAAACCTTAAATCTTCTGCCATTCTCATGGTCAAAGGTACACGCGCTGTCCTGAAGCTCTTGTTGATGACTGTGTTTCCCGTCAGTCGCATCTAAGCATGGTCATCATTGGTTGTCTAGTCTGCAATTTGAGATAATCAGCCAATCAGGGCCAAGCAGGCACAAAAACAGTCCATTATTTTGTCATTCATCCTTTCTGTTTGTACTCAATTAACATCACAAACTTTAATCTCCAAGCAGATCATACGGTGGCAAGGCAGTATCCATTGCCTTCACTGGCTCATGGTAACTCCTCAACCAATGGATACTGCCTTGAAACCTTAAGATCTGCTTGGAGATGAACAAACTATCACTTCCCACTTTCACACTATACTTTCACGTTTGCATCTCAACAGCGCTCCCTGCCGAAATCAGGCGCAACTTGCAAGACGTAGAAATATTTGAAGGCGAAACCGCGACGTTTGAAATTGAGATGGCGCGACCCATCGAAGGCTTCAAATGGTTCCGCAAGGGGCTGGAGATTCAGCCTGAGGACGACATCACCTTTGAGCAGGAGGGTCTGCTGATTTACAGAGTTATCCTGAAGAACTGTCTTCAGAGCCACACAGGCAATGTCAAGTTCATCACAGGACAGCTGCAGTCCACCGCTTCACTCATTGTCAAAGGTAGACGCCAAGAGGATGCTCGCTGCTGCTTAGTTTCATTGCCTGCGCAGGCAAGATGCAGATTTCGTTTAGAGCGCTTCTTATTCATTACATAGCTTAGACTGCTCCTGCGCTATGCTTACAAATATAGCTACATCAGTAAAAAATTCTAAATGCGATGCTGTATTTAAGTGCCTAGACTTAAGCTCATAGAGAAGTTGCCTTAGTTGCTTTTCATTGCGCTATCCTTTGCAGTAGAGCAAGGGTACCCTAGAAGTAAGAATGAAACACGCTTTTAAGGCTATCAGATCAGCTGCGACATATTCATCTTTAACTCTATTTCAGCATAGCGAGTTTGCTTTCTGTCGCTTCATTTTGCACTGCTGTACATTTTTGCGCTGGCAGGGAAAAAACTTAGCCTTGGTGCCAGACTGTTGCCATGACCAGTATATAGAGAGACTATACAGACTAGCTATTGGGCTCCAGGACCAACATGTCCCTAAGTCCCTAAATCTTACCATCCTCAGTTAAGGTTTAGCTAGGAGCTGGCCTGTGTATTGACCCTAATAACAGTCTGGCATCCAGGCTAGTAGAAAGGCACATCCGCAAACAGTAAGGAAAGCATGCAAGCATTCATGTTTTCACCATGATTGTGTATCATGTCACGATGCTAGCCATCCCGGTTGAGGTTATCCGTGACCTGGAGGACCAGGAGGTTTGGGAGAAGGAGACGGCGTCGTTCGAGGTTGAGCTTTCCCAGCCTGTCTCGGACTTCCACTGGGTGCAGAAGAAGGAGGAACTTCATCCGAGCGCCAGAGTAGAGTTCCAGACAGACGAGAACACTCAACGCCTCGTGATCCACGACTGCAGGGTGGAGGACATCGGCCCCATCAAGTTCAACACCGAGACGCTCCAGCTGTCTGCCATTCTCATGGTCAAAGGTATCACGTTACCGACCAGCACGTGATCGAAGGAGAAGATGATGCAGTTTTTAATGGCGGCGCAACACGCATGAGCGGAGTTGTGGGAATGTTCACTCGAGCCGACAACAAGATTTTTTTTAACTTAGTCTATCATTCTTAAATTTGCAGGAAAAAAATAACTTGAATTTTTCATATTGTACAAAACAGGTGAAGCTTTTAACACACCTGATTTGGTAGTTGGTTGAGACATCATTCCCACAACTAAAGCAAGCAAAGCAATCTAAATCCGAGCCGTCTTTATATATGTGTCATTCTCTCCAGGCGCGACGTTTCTCCTTTATGTGCTCATCTTTTGTCTGTTTCCACTTTCTTTCCTGTGTCTTATGATGTCTTTCATTCATGTAATAACCTGTACTCTTCCAGTACTGCGCTAATCTCCAAGCAGATCTTTTGGTAGCAAGAAAACAGTTACTGTATCACATTGATAACTGGCCACCGTTTAGCTGGCAAAAGATACCGGCACAAAAAAGAAAATAAAAAAGCACAGAAAAGACTTCCAAAATAAATCAAAGCCCAAACCTCTGCTTGGAGAGAAGTACTGCGCATCTCCCCCAACCTCCTTCCTCACCTACGTTTCTCACCTGGTCGCTCTAGAACTGCCCCTTAAGATCGAGAAGGATCTTGAGGACCAGGAGATCTGGGAGAAGCAGATGGCGACGTACGAGGTGGAGCTGAACAAGCCGGACATGAACGTGTTCTGGTTCCGCGAGAACGTGCGCATCGTGCCCAGCGACGAGATTGAGATCCGGTCAAAGGGCAATGCCTACACGCTGGTGCTGCACAAGCGCAAACTGTCCGACGCCGGAGAGATCCGGTTCTCCGTCGGAGAGCTGTCCTCCACCGCGCAGCTCATCGTTAAAGGTAGACAAACAAACAAACAAACAAGCAAACCATCAAGCAGGCCTCCGTGCTCGCTGGAGGACACCTGCTGCTGCCAACTCATGACGCTAACTTCTTTCTCGCGCTCAGGAAACGTCTCTCAGGGACGATTTCTAGCTATTATAGGAAACTTTATTGACCAGCACTTGTTGAAGTTGCACTCTTGCGATCATGCTAACCAACTGCGCTATGTAGACTTCTCTTGTCAGGCATTATAAGTTGTAGTCTTTGTAATGTTTCTGTCAATACTGACAATTGTTATATTTATGATAGCGCTCATCCTAGAACTTGATCTCTTGCGCTCATGCTAACAAACTGCGCTCTTTAATCTTATCTTAAACATAGTTTTATTTACTATATGCTCTTCTTAATCCAGACAATGGATTTATGCTATAATAACGTGATGCTGAAGATTTCTTCACCAGAGAAATTATTTGACTTGCATTCCAGCGCTCTTACTAACAACCTGCGCTCTACTTTTCTTGTTTATATTGATGGACAGGTCAACTATAGATTGTAGCAGTGTATCCTAGCGCCAAGTTGGTTGCTAACTTCTGAGCATGTAGATGTAGACCTATGATTGTCACATCTCAGTCTATGACATTTCCCTATCATTGTCACTTTTAAATTTGCGCTGTGTTGGTTAAATGTACATCCAAGCATGCGACATTTCATAAATCTGTAGCTTTGTGATTGCTACATCACACTTTGCGACATTTCCTCTCTAGCCCTATGAATTGCTACATCACATTTTGCGACATTTCAGAGCTGCCTGTAGAGATTGTGCGCGAGCTTCAGGACCAGGAGGTCTGGGAAGACGAGACCGCGCGCTTCGAGATCGAACTCTCGCGACAGATCACCGAGTTCCACTGGTCCAAGAAGGGCGAGGAGCTCCAAACCGGCGCTTCCGTGGACTTCCTACAGGACGGAAACGTCTACAAACTGGTCCTGATGGACTGTAAGATTGAGGACATGGGAACCATCAAGTTCGAAACGGAGGACAGAAAGTCCTCGGCGACCCTGGTGGTGAAAGGTACACACCTGCACTGCAGCGTGGGGCCACTACAGGGCACCGCAATCCGGGCTGCTATCTGCTGCATTTGCTCTTCTATTGCGTATCTTTTACTGTACCGCTTGCGCTGCTACTGCCTTGATAGTTAGAGAATTATAGCTTTTAAAACAAATGATGAACATGCATCCAAGTTATACATAAAAAAAATTATCTTAGAGTAGCCTTTAGGGACAGCCTTGGAGTAGACGCTATCTACGAAGCGATAGGAAATAGCTGATTGCATAGCTGCTCTTCTTAGCTGTTTCAATCTTTAATTTGCAGGTCTAGTTTACATATAGTGCACTCTTTTTAGATTGTAGAGCAAACATTGCGCACTGTTGCAGCAGCTCACTTCTTGCTTGCGCTTTTCACACGGCGCCTTTTACTTGTGAGCCCTGTTTCCAGGCTCACCTATTTTGCTCATTTGCATACTTGGGACAATACCAATGCTATCCCGCTGCATGATTACCATTTCTACCATTTCACCATGTGCTCTTCCACCTTCAGAACTGCCAGTAGAAATCACGCGCCAGCTCGAAGACGTGGAAGTCTACGAGCGAGACTCCGCCACCTTCGAGGTGGAACTGAACAAGAAGGACCTGCAAGTCCAGTGGTTTAAGAAAGGCGTGCTGCTTGAAGACTCTGGTAGGCGGACGCCTGGCCGCGTGACGCCTCACGAGTCTGTGGACATCATGAGTGATGATTATAAGTACAAGTGCACGCTGCATAACTGCCAACTGGAGGACCAGGGAGAGATCAAGTTCCTCATCAACGGGCACAAGGCCAAGGCGCATCTGCGCGTCAAAGGTATCGCACCTGGCAGGTGTTCTGTGGCGCACAGGCACGCTGCGTCTGCAAATGCACTTTTTCTCATAGCACAAGTTTACAAAATTCTTCACCTATGCTAGAGTGATATTTTCTGTGTACATGTACTGCATTCTTTTTTATTGATCCAAAGAAAGAGCAGCAATGCACAGTAGTTGAAATGTGTGGATACTGCAGGATTGTTCACATACTTTCTGCGTACCGCTCTTTGCTCTTTATCGTTGTTGCTGCATCGCATAGAATAAGGTTGCTGAAATTGTTCACCGACGATAGAGTGATGTATTTTCTGCATAGCGCTCTTTCTCTTTCATCATTATTTCCTGGGTTGACTTTGCCTGGATGCCAGCCTTTTTAGCCTTCATGCACTCCTTTACAAGAAAGTGTAGTTGCTTCCTTGCCAAAAAAAGAGGAGTGTACTAAAGGTAAAACAGGCTAAAAAGGCTGGCGTCTAGGCTAGTGTTGACTATCATTCCACCTTCTATCTGTCTGTCGGCATGCACACAGAGCTGCATTCTTTCCATCTCATCCTGTTTATTATGTTGTCTAGCTTTGATGCCAGCCTTTTTAGCTGCTTCCTTGTCAGAAAAGGAGTGTACTATAAGCTAAAAAGGCTGGTATCCAGGCTAGTGTTAACTATCATCTAGTGTTGACATCATGTCTGTATGCGCAACTAGATGCCAGTCTTTATAGTTTTGATGCACTCCTTTAGTTGCTTCTGTACAAAAAAAGGGAGTTTTTAAACTAAAGTTAAGGAGTGTACTAAAGCTAAAAGGCTGGCGTCCAGGCTAGCATTGACTGCCATTTCACCTGTTCTGTCTGTCTGTATGCCAGCCTTTTGGGCCTTGTACATGCAGTCCTTTAGTTGCTTCGTTGCAAAAGGAGGAGTGTACTTTTAATGATAAGTAAAGCTAAAAAGGCAGGCATCCAGGCAAGTGTTGACCATCATCTCATCTCCCTTCTGTCTGTCTGCGCGCTCACAGAGCTGCCCATTGGCTTCCTGCTGGGTCTGAAGGACCAGCGCGCGGTCGAGCGCGACGAGATGGCCAAGTTCACCTGCACCATGTCCAAGAAGGGTCAGGTGGCCCGCTGGTTCTTCGAGTCCGAGCCCTGCGAGGAGAACGGAAAGTACCGGTTCGAGGTGGACGGGACGGCCTACAGCCTCATCATCCGCGACATCAAGCTCACGGACGCCGGGAAGTATACCTGCGCGTCCAAGGACAGCGAAACCACCGCGAACCTCATCGTGGACCGTACGTACTGTCCTCACATGACCCCTGCTGCGCTAGAGCTAATGACCCTTGACACGACCTCTGACACAGTCCTGACCCTTGACATGACCCCTGCTGCGGTAGAGCTAATGACCCTTGACATGACCTCCGACACACAGAAAATTAATAATAGGCAAAGTTGACAATGACACACCTGGACTTGACTTGACTGAAATGCTTTCAAAATGAGCTGCTAATTTTGCCATTGCTAAATCAACTTCTGCAGCATTTGTGTCTGAAGGCGTAAACATGCATAAGGCTCTTGCTCTTTGCTTTAGACACTACAGCAGCCTATTCTAGCTTGCCTTTTTCCTACATTAAGTACTCCCTATAGCTAATCTTAAAATCCTTCTGCTTTACGACTGCGACTACATTTCTTTGGCTTTAATAGACTGCGACACTTTTAAAGTATGCTGGTAAGTACCAGAAGCACACAGCATAATGCTTAATAAGTATATATGTGCTCTGACAGCGACTTTATCATTACCTTGCAGCTGCCTATTAGTAAATACATTTGCCAGTTCAAGCTTTAACAAATTCTTTTCTTGCCAACATGCACTATCAGCAATCCCTGCTCTTCTAAGCGCACTAGGGTTTTATAACAAAAAATGCAAAGATAAGTGTTGCTTAACTTAAGGTAGAACTTTACTTACAGAGTTACACGCTGACTATCTGCATGAAGATATGCCAAATATAGAAGATTACAAATTAAGAGTCATTAGCAGCTCATTCCTTTTGCATCTTCAGTAGATCACGCCTTTACAACTTCCCCACCTCTTAGTGCTGCTGCTTAAGATATAACTTTCCTTGTGGAGTTGCACACCTAGTCTTCTTCACAAAGATATGCCAAATGTGATAGTAGGCTGAATAGTTACATCATTTGCATCTTCAGTAGATCACGCCTTCCTACCTCTAAGTGCTGCTCCTAATGATAAAACTTATGGATTTGCAGTCCTAGTCTTCTGCACGAAGATATGCAAAACATGAGTAGTTACAGTTTACGAGTCATCAGAATCTCTTAGCCAGTAGATCATGCCTCCGTGACTTTCCCCCTCCTTAGCGCTGCCACTTAAGATTGAGAAGGACCTAGAAGACGTGGAGGTCTGGGAGAAGGAGACGGCGGTGTTCCAGACGGAGCTGAACCACCCGGACCGTCCCATCGTCTGGTTCAAGAAGGGTCAGCAGCTGGCGGACTCGGACACGGTGGCGATCACGTCCGAGGGCATGCGCTACTTCCTCACCATCCGCGACGCGCAGCTGAGCGACATGGGGACGATCAAGTTTCAGGTCGAGGGCCTGAAATCTGCTGCGACCCTGCTCGTCAAAGGTAGCCATGGCAACCGTTGCCATGCCAACCAGAAGCGATGCCGCAAATGCACTATTTCATTGCTTAGGCTGGCAAATACTGTTAAGAGTACTAGTTGCACTTTGCTCAAATGTGGGCGCACCAAGCTGCTATTTTATCTATCTTGTATCTTAGAATCCCCACAATTGATAAGGCAAATACCTTTAGTTTTGGGAATGCTGTTTAAAAAGCACAAACTAGACAACAGACACAGCAAGTAACATCTTTGATTACACTTTGATTCAAGAGACATGCGCATGTGCGTCATCTTAGTTAGTAAGTACTTGGTACTTTAAGTTAGAAGTTATGATAAGAACCCGTGCATGCATGTGTGCGTTTATAAGCTCTGTAGAATTGCGTCCTCTAAGTTAGTGTTGCGGCAGCAGTGGTTCTATGCTCTGTATCTATAATACAGCAGTTGCTGGTCCATTTGTGACCAATGCGATGCGAAATTTGATAGCGGCATTTCCTACTAACCATCCAGTACATATCCAGCCATGCCACTCCACGCATGCAATCTCCAATCAGATGTTCTCACAACATTTGCTTGGAGATTAACTTCAATCCATGTACTCATGCATGGGCCATTCAAACTCGACTACTGGATACATACAGAGATTACTTCGGTCCATAAAATTGGAAGGAGCATGACGAATTTCACTCAAAACATCCAGAAGTGATATCTGTATCTGATCCAGTAGTAAGAGTTTGAGCAGTCTCTGTACCGTTTACTGGATGTCTCACCTCCACACCCGTCCATGTCCCCCCACCAGAGCTGCCCTACACCTTTACTGCCGAGCTGGAGGACCAGCGTGCCATGGAGCGCGACCCCCTCTCCACCTTCACCTGCGAGATGTCCAAACCGGACATCGAGGCCACGTGGTACCGGGGAGAGGAGAAGCTGAAGGCTGGGGAGAAATATGAGATGGAACGCGACGGCTGCGTGCACCGCCTGCTCATCCGCAACGTTCGGCTGGACGACGACAGCAGCTACACCTGCGCGAACAAGGACAACAAGACGACGGCAAAGCTCACCGTGGACCGTATGTATCCGTAGCAACGCTCGTCGTCAAGTCCTTTGCAGTTCCAAGCTTCCCTGCGTCACACATTTCTCCAAGTTGCCTTCCCAAATGCCTTCCCAAATGCCTTCCCAAATGCCTTCCCAAATGCCTTCCCAAATGCCTTCCCAAATGCCTTCCCAAATGCCTTCCCAAATGCCTAGCTATGCCTGTCATCAAGTCCTTTCCAAGCTTCCCTACGTCACACCTTTCCCCCCAAATGCCTTCCCTTTACCAGTACCTGTACCTTGTCCCTCCCCTTTATGCCTTCCCTTTATCTTTCCTGATGTTCCCTTCTGTATGTATCAGCAGCAAAGCTCGTCAAGTGCCAGCTTCCCTGCCTCCCATGTTTCACCCAGATGTTTCCCCTCAATACATTCCCAAATGCCTTCCCTTTACCTCTTCCCGATGTTCCCTTCTGTATGTATCAACAGCGAAGCTTGCACCAGGTTCTCTGCAGTTCCCAGCTTTGCTGCTAGATGGCATTCACCCAAATGCCTTCCCTGTATGTTTCCTCCAGTACCATTCCTTTTCTCCTACCCTGCAATGGCACCAATGTGCTGGTGTCTTTGAGCATTTGTTTACTTTCCCAATGTCTTCCCAATGACTGAAGACAATTGTCTTCACCTGTTTTACCTCCTGTCCTAGCATGGCCCCACCTGTGCCCATCCCTCTCCCTCTGATTATCAACCCCAGCCTCCTGCCTACAGATGATCCCAGTACCTTCCCTCTGAACCTTCCCTTTTCTCAATGTACCCCTGACTCCCAGCAAGCTTGCGGCAGCTCAGTTCTTACTAAGGTTCCCAGCGTTCTATTGCTGCTACCTTCCCCAGCCAGTTTGCTCTATAGCGATCACTTTGCCATCATTTGTCTTCACTTTCTTTCATTTTTTACTTTCATTGTCATTCCTATTTTCTGCACTTTCTTTGATTCCCTTTTCATTGTCATTCATCACTTTATGCATTTCATTTTTCCTTACATTTCATTTCTTGAATTCATCTTGTATATGTCATGGTAGAGACTACGAACTGGTAAAATCTGGTAGAGATCCCAATAGGAGTCTTTGTCGATTCTACTAGATAGAAGTGTCCACCCTGACATATACACACGATAAGACATTGTTTGTCTTTACATCTTTCCCCTCTTTATTCTTCACCATCTCTTCACACCATTGACCAAACAGCTGAAGGGTAAGACATTGTGTTGACATGATGTCTCACAGCATTTCCTTACTCTCTGCAGCGCTTCCTCTTGAGATCGTGACCGATCTTGAGGACGTTGAGGTCTGGGAGAAGGAAACTGCGACCTTCGTCATCGAGATGAACCACGAAGGCCGAGAGGTCGAGTGGCAGAAGAAGGGCGTGAAGTGCGAAAAGAGCGAAACCGTTGATATGAAGTCCGAGGGTTACAAGTATTTCCTGGTGATTAAGGACTGCCAGCTGTCAGACATGGGGACGGTCAAGTTCCAGTCTGACAGACAGAAGTCCTCGGCGACTCTGCTCGTAAAAGGTACCCTGCTGTAAAAAAACATGGCCATCCGCTGTAGCTGTACCTGTCCTCTCGTAGCGTGCTGTCTAGCTGCTTGTAGTGTTCTATCTATAGCTGCTCATAGATTCAGCAAAACATTTGGTTGATTGGATACAGTCTGAAATTGTCAATTTAGTCCGGATGTAAAATCAGATGTCCGGATGTAAAATCACATGTCGATTTCAGATGTCAATGACATCTGAAAACTTGTTTTGTTTGTACAGTGACTGTCAAATTTATGATAATCATTCTGAATCCAGATTCCACCAAATGGCTCTGTGCTGCTTAGTTTTTAAGGGCGTTTGCTGCATTTGCAATAGCTAAGCGCTATGTTATTGCCATTGCTCCTTAATTGCTGCTTCAAATCTTGCAATTATTTGTAATTTATAATGCTGTAGTCTAATGATTACTGGTAGATATGCACAGCTAGTTAACTAGCAACAGCAATCTGCATGAAAATGCAAGCTCTCTCTGCTAACCTTAGATTGTAGTTCTGCTCAAGCTCATTTGTGCGCTCTTAAAAGAAAAACGCAAGGCACAAAAACTCTGCAGCTGCCCTTGCTTACCCTGCTGTATGCGACTAGCCTCACTGACAGCTCTCACTCTGTCAATAGTAGCAAATATCGCTCCATGCTGCAAACTTTTCTTCCAGCTGCTGCTAATTTATAGCGCAACATTGTGTCATTGTATGTAGCGCAACATTGTGTCCAAAGCCACTGTCACACATTCAGGACTTTCTCATGGTCTGGAGAGGGTCGGCTATGAGGAGTCCATTGTCAACTATGTGTGACAGGGACTTTAACCTACATCATTGTCATCTCCTGTATCTGATTCATTGATTTCATTTGATCAACTGGGAAAAATGCTAGTATATGCAATGTGTTTCTCCTAGTGCACAAGAAATTGTTACTCATCGACAAGCAACTTGATAGATTTTGAAAACAGGCAAACATTTCAAGTAGCATCCACTACTTTTCATTCAATCTGTAGTTGAACAGGTATTTACAGGTATACCAGAATCTGTACTTGAACAGCACAGTATATAGGTGATCAGATTCCGTTAGCCACTGACAAAAAGCTTCTTGAAATGTCTGACAGTTTTGAAAATCTGTCCAGTTGCTCGCGAAGTAACAGTTTTTTGTGTTTCTCATGATCATCACTTGTCATTATCATCATGTCTAACCTCCATTGGTCATTAGTGACCCATTAACCGACCACCTGTCCACACACAGAGCTGCCGGCAGTCTTCACCAAGCAGCTGCAGTCATGCCAGAGGCTGGAGTTCCAGCAGGCCGTGTTCGAGTGCGAGACCTCGCGCGGCACCGCGCAGTGCAAGTGGTTCCGCAAGGGGGTTGCCATAGAGCCTTCCGACAAGTACGAGATTCGCGCGAGCGACCGGGACCACATGCTCATCGTGCACGACGTCCGCTTCGAGGACGACTCGGCGTACGAGTGCCGCATCGTGGTGGGCGGCGAGGACACCACCAGCGCCGAACTTACCGTGGAAGGTGAGAGGTTTTGAAGGGTTTGGAGAACCCCCATAAGAGCCTCTGCTTCACCTGTGTAGCATGATGTATTTTTTTGCTGCAACTTCCCACCACCAAGTTTTTACCTTTACCAACTCAACACTCCCTTTCCTTTCCTCTCCTTTAAGTGTAAGCCTCTGCTTCAGCTGTGTTACATGATGAACTCTTCTGCAATTTCTCACTGTTATTAGTGTTAAGTCTATACCTTTACCAACTCAACCCTCCCTTTCCTTTCCTCTCCTTTAAGTGCAATTTCTCACTGTTAAGTCTATACCTTTACCAACTCAACCCTCCCTTTCCTTTAATTAAGTTCACTAGCACCAAACTTAATGCGGAAGGTGAGAGGTTGAAGGGTTTGGAGAACCCCCTTAAGAGCCTCTGCTTCACCTGCGTAGCATGATGAATTTTGCTGCCCCATAAAAACCCCCATAAGAGCCTCTTCTTCAGGTGTCAAGTTAACACATAACAGTACAAGGCAAAGCTTGTTCTAGGTATTTCACAGCTGCGTAGTCCCCTTCTTCCTTTCTTGCCATAACTGCTATGCTAAGTCTTAGAAGCATAATTTGGCTGCGAACTTTTCCTTGCACCTGCAATACATGCGCAACGTTTCAGAACACCAGACAATCAGTGTCTCCAACAGGTAACTGTATGGTCCTTTTCGTCTTCCTTACCATATATGGTATAACGTCTTAAAATGCTGACCCTCCTACTTCTTGCCCCTTGCAGAGGCGCCTGCTGAGATTATGACACCACTTAAGGATCAGACAGTCATGGAAGAGGAGACAGCCACTTTCACTTGCGACGTCTCTAAGGAGAACGCAAAGGTAAGCTGAAGGAACAGTTACTTCTTCATCATCATGTTGTATGACTCAAACAGACTTTAGGTCTACTCTCTCTCTCTCTTCTCTCTCTCTCTCTGTCTCTCTCTCTCTCCCTCCCTCTCTCTCTTGCCCTCTTTATCTTCCTCTCTCCCTCTCTCTCCCTCTCCCCCTCTCTCGCTCTCCCCTCTCTCTCTCAATCTTTCTTTCTCTCTCTGTCTGTCTGTCTGTCTCTCTTTCTCTCTCCCCCCTCTCTTGACTGAAGTTAAGATCTTGTATACAGGTTTGGTATAATTTGCAGTTGCGAACGATTGATGAATGATTGAACGGGTAAATGGGAACATGCCACCTTGTTTCAGATGCTAAAACATCAGTCACTTGATGTAGCAATTGTGAAAGTGAAAGTCCTTTGTTCCTCACATCTCCAGGTGAAGTGGCTGAAGGGTGAGCTGGAGGTGAAGCCGACCGAGAGGATCGTGATGGAGGCTGTCGGCAAGACGCACAAACTGACGATCCAGAAGGCCGAGCTCACCGACCAATCACCTTTCTCCCTGGTGGCCACAGGAGGCCAGACCACAGCCAATCTTACCGTCATCAGTAAGTACTGCAGTAATAGTAGTAGTACTGTAGTTACTGTTACAGTAGTAGTAGTAGTAAGTAGTACTGATCCAGAAGGCCGAGCTCACCGACCAATCACCTTTCTCCCTGGTGGCCACAGGAGGCCAGACCACAGCCAACCTTACCGTCATCAGTAAGTACTGTAGTAATAGTAGTAGTACTGTAGTTACTGTTACAGTAGTAGTAGTAGTAGTAAGTAGTACTGATCCAGAAGGCCGAGCTCACTGACCAATCACCATTCTCCCTGGTCGCCACAGGAGGCCAGACCACAGCCAACCTTACTGTCATCAGTAAGTACTGTAGTAGCAGTAGTACAGTAGTTACTGTAGTAGTAGTAAGTAGTACTGATCCAGAAGGCTGAGCTCACCGACCAATCACCTTTCTCCCTGGTCGCCACAGGAGGCCAGACCACAGCCAACCTTACCGTCATCAGTAAGTCACAAGCTCTTTAAGAGTTTTAAACAGGCACTCCTGCAGTTCTAGAACAAGCTGCTAGGGGCTCAAACTCGTGTCACTTCTTACTGTCATCAAACAACCATACCAACAAACCAGCCAATCTTACTGTCATCAGTAAGTCAGAAGCTCCTAAAACATAGCCAATTGTTCCCATCTCATCTATCCCTTTGTCTTAGTCTTAGTTATACACTAAATCGACGAATACCTGAGAAAATGCCTTGAAGTGGAGATAATATCTTTGGCTCCTGTTTTGCCTGTGAATGAAGCAAGACGAAAGTTTGAAAGTTTCGTTGTCATGTCATCCATGGTTGTAGTGATATATACTTTTACATTAAACACTTAGCATAAACCAAAAGGTTTCTCCATGAATTATGCGTGATATATAACCTGATGAATTTCCTTCCCCCAGAAATCCCGCCCGAGTTCTCGCTGGGTGTGAAGGATGTGAAGGTTCGTGAGACGGAGACAGCAACCTTCAAGTGCGAACTGACAAGGGACGCTGACTTCGTCAGGTCAGATATCAAAGAGACACAGATTGTGCAACATGATAGTTGACTAACATATCATGTTTAACTTATCATTTTCAACATTCAAAGAGTTTTGTAAATGGGCATCTCTGCGTCAGTTTGATGGACAATTGCGGATCATGATCAAAGTCGTAAAGTTGTACTGAAGAAGGCCAGTTACTGTAGGTTCCAGTGTGAGACTGTTGTTACTTCTGGGACAGAAATATTGTGTTGGGTGGCAATGACCTGTGCTAGGTTTGTATGTTTGGGTTCCAAAGTGGGTGGGTGGAGATTTGGTATTGCTTGATAGACAGAGTTTTGAACTGGTGTCAAGCCTATAGTGAAATTGTATCAGAACTAATGCATTGTATGATATAATTCATTAACTTAAAACATTATATTATGAACCTCTGGGAGATTGAAATCTGTGATTTCTTGTTTCCCCCCCAGATGGAGGAGGAATGGAGACTGGATCGACACAAAAGACAGCGAGAAGTACGAGACAATCGGCAAGGGCCGTAAGCACGCCCTGCTGATCAACAACTGTGTGCCGGAGGACGCCATAAGCTACACTGCTGTAGTCGGCGAAAAGGAGAGCACTGCCAAGTTAGAAGTGGAAGGTAGCGTGGACGCTTTCATTCTTAGCAGCGACGGCAGAGAACCAAGTTTACCACATTCTGCATGGCTTAGTGATGCAGTTTTGGCTATCCCCTACACCAGTAGTATATGTAGTGCGGTTTTGGCTACTAAATGTAGTATGTTGAAAGGGGCCCTGCATGCCCCTTTATGTAAAGTGTAATCAGCCTTTTTAAGTCTTACACACACACATAATTCGTAGGCAGCCACAAAATTAAGACAGCGCAATTCTAGCCTCATGATTTAAGGCAATTCCTTAGTGATTTGTAATCTGCAGAAAAAATTTTGGAGTGATTTGTAATCGCTACCTGCCAATACAGGGCTTCTTTCAGCAAGAACTTAGTTACCGTTCATATGTGCTTGCAACAGTAGTGCTGCACCAAACAACGCTAACGATCGCACGCGCAGCTTCCAATGCTTAGCTATAGGCTTTACATGCTGGCTGGTAGACACGTAGCATAGTAACCCACGCACTGCTCTGTAGAATAGCTATCCTAATTTCGGCAAGCAGATCTTTTGGTGACGGCAAAGACAAATTGGCCAGGCAGTATATATTTATTTGCCATCTGGGCTAGTGTAAAAAAGATACCATTACAAAAAAGAGATCCCAGTAAAAACCTAAAAACACACCAAACACAAGCGGAACCCCAAACCTCTGCTTGGCGAGAGTCGCTATCTGGCTGAGTTCACGCAGAAAAATGCACAATATCTGCTGCACAGCAAGCTGCTAGAATAAGCGACGATTGACTGCAGCTATGGCTCGTAGCTTAGCGTGTGACGACCGCAGAAGCCTTTCCATGAGTGCTCACAGCTTTGTCTTCTCCTGGCTGCACGGTGACGTGAGTTTGTTGTGACGTGTGTGTGCATGTTGAGTGCCTGTTGGGTACATCACAGTACCCGGGGTTTAGGTGCTTCACTAGTACTTATCGAAAGGGCTCGGACGTAATGACAATCCTGTGTCGTTTTGTACAAGTCCTCCCACAAGAGAAGGCTTCCAAACTTCATGGAAGTCGTATCCCCTCTTCATGTATTTATGTCTTCCTTCTTTAAATCTCTCAATCTATTTTGCAAGAAAACTCACACCAAGCCACTTTGTGGCCTAATTCTATTCCGTCACTCTAATAAACAACCGGTACGAAATCTGATCTCGTCCACCTCTACTCTCTCTCTCTATCACTCTATCTGTCTCGTCTGTCTCCTCCCTCCCTTGCTAATACGTTCTGTCCTTCTGATCCCCTCTCCCCGCTCTATACGTGTTATAGAGTTAGTACGGATTGTTATACCGCCCGAGCCCACTTCGGTGATTACCAATGAGGTAACTAAATTCGAGTGCGAGCTCAACACGGAGAAAGCAGACGTGACGTGGTGGAAGGAAGGCGCGGAGATCCGACCGGGGGAGAAGTACCGGATGGAGAAGGATAAGAAGAAGCACACGCTGTTTATCGCCGACACCACCGAGGCCGACGCGGGAATGTACTCCGTGACCGCCGGAGAGGACCAGGCGAACGCTCCACTGACTGTGGGAGGTTCGTACGCACGAGCGAGTCATGGCGTTTTCGCGCGTTTCTCTCTCTAAAAGCCGTTTTACCTTCTTGCGCGATGGTACAGTAAAGTGCTGCTGCGGCGGATGCGATCATGATCAGGCCTGTACTTTTTTTTATATAATTTATGTAGCAGAAGTTTCAGAAAATAGTTTCATCAGGTTGGTAGAGTGGGGTTTTCTTTTATACAACCAAACTTGTCTTGGCTTGCTTACGTTTCAGTGTCTAGCAGACACCTTCCTCAGAGCAGAACTCCAGTCTGAAGCTCTGAGGAAAGTGTCTGATAGACATCGAAATGTAAGCAAGGTAAGACAAGTTTGGTTGTGCAAAAGAAGACCCCTACATGTATATCCTGTATCAGAAGTTCCTTTGGTGTGCCCCTGTCATAGTGCTGCAGCTTTTAACACAGTCTGCTGCGATGTGAAAGTCTTTGGCAGTCGGGATATCCATGCCCCTTATGGCACGATCACATCTGTTGCAGGCCATCATATATTAACATTTTGATGCCCTAGCATTTTCCTACAGGCTGTGATAGAAACAACCTGCAACAAATGATCTACAACAGCTGAATTTGGCAGCACACCCACACAACTTACAATCCAAAGGATCCATCAGCTTGCAATTATTAAATGATGATTGTACAACATATGTGGCCAGGCCATCACTGCACTCAAAACATTTGCCATCAACCATATGAATGTATTCCTGGACAGGCCAATTTTCATGATGTACTCCACCTTCTGAAGACTAACATTATGCTTGAGTGCAGCAGTAAGGGGACTGGTATCCATGATTGCCCTAGACTTTCCTGTCGCAGCGGATCGCCAAAAGTTGACGTGACTTCACTCTCCCATGCAGAACTATCCTGCAACAATACTGTAACCTCTCTCCCACGGTAGTATTGCTGTGGGGTATCTCTGCTTGGGAGAGTGAAGCCACAGACAGGGGCTGTACCATCAGTATCAGACTGAATAGCAGTTTAGTCAGTTTTGTTCATGATGTGCGCAAACAAACTTCACATCAGTAGTGCGAATGTTCTTTAGCATAGGTTGTTTATTTCTTAGACTAGGTCATCTACTGACTGTAGTACATTTATCTATAATTTTTAGTTTTTTTATAATAGGGAAACATTGGTCGATGACCCAAGTGCAAGAGTTACATAACATTAATTGAATACATAGCACTGTAGATGATAGATACCTTGGAGTCTTCCTAGTAGGTGTTGTGTAATATCAGGAATATACATTGTACATTGTTTCATTTCCTAACTGATAGATGAATATACATAATGATTGGACATTGTTACATTTCTTCACTGGTAGATGAATATACATTGTACATCTACCAGTGAAGAAATGAAACAGTAAGAGGAAGACTTACTGTTGCCTTTCCCGTCTGGAACGTTTCAGAGCCCCCCCTGAAGATGATTGAAGGTCCGAAGGACCAGCTTGTGATTGAGAAGGAGACGGCGACGTTCTCCTGTGTGACAAACAAGGACGGGGAAGTCAAGTGGCAACGGGCTGGGCAGGACTTGGAGCCCAGCGACAAGTACAAGTAAGTCTGAGGAAGCCACTACAATTTAGACAATACAGACTTATACTTGTGGCTACCTTTGCGACCAATTGGCCAGTGATATACAGTCAAATCTGTACTAATGACCACCTCTGCAGAAGAATTACCTGGCCATTAAGACAACAGTTACTTTGTTATAGCCAAAAAATCACTGAGCAAATTTGTTTTGTTTTGATCTAACTTACACTTAGTCCAATCTTTCATAATTATGCTGGATGAAATGCACAGGCTAGGGCTTTACCCAGTGCACTGTATGATAGAACTGAACCTACATAGGTAGTATATGTTTGTAAAGCCCAGCCTAGGTATGAGAAGGACGGCACGCGTCACAGCCTGCTGATCCAGGACTGTATATTATAATCTGTTATCAGTATTACTGGTTAACTCTGACTGTATAATCTGTTATCAGTATTACTGGTTAACTCTGACTGTATAATCTGTTATCAGTATTACTGTTAACATGTAACTCTGGCTGTTGTTACTCCTGTAGGTATGAGAAGGACGGCACGCGTCACAGCCTGCTGATCCAGGACTGTAAGCTGGACGATAAGGACACCTACACGGCCGTGGCAGGAGACCACAAGCTGTCGGCAAAACTTACTGTCAAGTGTAAGGAAACAAGCTTTGTCTAAACTTCTTACTGTTATATAGCAGGTCCTAACCTAAGGTATTGCACATTTCTTTTTGTCACATTCCTGGTGGTAACACCTACACGGTCGTGGCAGGAGACCACAAGCTGTCAGCAAAACTTACTGTCAAGTGTAAGGACACAGGGTTTTATTAAAAACTTCTTACTATGATATAGCCAGTCCAAAACTAAGGTATTGCACATTTGTTTTGCCATGTTCCACAGCTGTGGCAGGAGACCACAAACGCACATCTAAAATGACAAAAAGTTTGCGTACTGACTCTTCATTTTTTTTATTATTCTTTGGCAAGTCTTATCATTATGGTATTTGTTAAAAACCAAAGGGTCTACTTAAATAGTCATTCTTCCACTAAAGATAGCATGTATATCGTCATATCATCAAGAAACTCTCATGAGCCAGACATTCAGTAGTAGGCTGTGTTAGATGATGACCACATAGACGGACTTATACTGTGTTATTTTCCTCCTCCCCCAGTGCCGGCAGTGAAGTTCGGACTCCCCCTGGATGACCAGGAGATTATGGAGACCGAAACCGCGACCTTCGAGACAACCGTCTCCCGGCCGTGCAAGGTCACATGGAGGAAGGGCGGAGTGAACATTGAACCCAGCGAGAGGTGAGAAAAACTTGTCATTCCTCTGGATGTATGAAAACTTCATACAACTGTTACAACACTAATTGTAAACATATGACAAGGATACGCTGTATCGCTGATAAAAGTGAGTTTTTTTTTCACATAACTGACATAATTGTGTAATAATTATACACCATGGCAGGTATGCATTTCTTAAATGTATACACCAAAGCTGCTTGCGATTGAGATGGGGTACAGACAGATTTACCACTATAGTCCAATTATCATCTACAAAGCTCAGAAACAGAAAAAAAGGTGTATTACCTTTATTAAGGTGTCTGACCATCTGCCTCCATCCCTTTCAGTTGTGAGTTTGAGTTAGGGTTTCCTGGATGATCACATTATCATGATTAGAACCTTGTTCCTAAGACAACGCCTTGCATCTATCCCCAGGGTGAGAGCACTAGAAGACGGACTGAAGCACACACTGATTATCGATGACTCCGTGGTGGAGGGACTTTTGACTGGAAATTATGTTTAACTTAACTTTTACAATTAGAATTTTATAGTCTGACACAACACAGATCTGTACATGTACAATCCTTATGTTCCTATGACAATGTTATATCCTAATGTTTCGCCAGGGTGAGAGCACTAGAAGACGGACTGAAGCACACACTGATTATCGATGACTCCGTGGTGGAGGATGAGGATACCTACACCATCCTGGCTGATGAGTCAGAGGCCTCTGCTAAACTCACAGTGGAAGGTACGTTTGTTTGTTTGTTTGTTTGTTTGTTGCTGCTTTTGTACAGTGGAAGTACGTCTGATGACAACTACATGATGTGACTATTCCATATCAAATTGAATGCTGTCATTACTACATATGATAAGATCATACAGTCTATCATAGCAATGAATCATATTGAAGTGCTGAACTGTTTGTACTTCCACCAGGCCTTAAAATTGAGTGCTCTACAAAATGTACCTAATGTTTGCCAATTAACTGCAATAATAAAAAATAAAGAGACAAACTGTCATATTATACATTACTGTGCCACCAAATATTGCATTTTCAGGTATCTTATGAATTAGATAAAAAAGATAGACTTGTAATGTTTAGCTGTAGCCTGTTCTACCAAGTAATATGTTGATAGATCGATAATACCAAGAGCTTTTCAAACTGAAGTCTCTTGTTTCACATCTTCCAGCTCTTCCGCTGAAGTTTATCCGTAAGATGACCTTGGCCACCGTGCC